ACATTTGGGCTCTCCCACCTTTTTGGCCAGTATGTGTAATGCTCCTGTAAATATCTCATACACGTTTTTTTTGTGGGAGTTTATGTCTCCCTATCTCTTGGGATATACGTAGGATCAGGATTGCGGGGTTTTGTGTCACTGCTCACCTGTCTGAGAAACTGCCAGATGGTTGTGTAGAGCAGATGCTGTTTTGTACTTTGCTCACAGCATGAGTGATCCAGTTTCTTCAGGCCCTTAGCAATATTTGCTGTTGCTGTGTCTCATCACCGTAGGCGATGATGCTGGGCGTCTCTTCTGTGCTTATGGCCCATTTGCATAGCTCCTGGAAAAATGTCTAATCAGCTCTTCTGTCCATTTTAAAAATTGAGTTACCTTTTTATTACCAGGTTTTAAGTTTCTTTATATTATAGGTGTATGCTGTCAGATATACAATATGCAACATTGTAAATGTGGACTTATTTTTGGACTCTTGGTACTATTCCTTCGTTTTACGTATTTATATTCATGATAGCACCCACTGTTTGCCAGTGTGTTTGACTTTATTTCACTATGATTGCCTTAAGGTTTACACTTTCTCATTTACATAAACAATTATCATACAGAAAGTTACTATACTTATTACCGTAGTAAAACTTTAAATTCATTTAAGTTAATATTTTTAGCAGGCCTACAAAATGATAGGTTTCTTTGTGACATTTTCCCACATGTGTAGCAATGTACTTTGTTCCTATTGTACCTTTTTGTTTTTCCCCTTTACTGTCCCACTGATCCTTCCTGCTAAAGAGTCCACTTCTGCTTTCATGGTGTGTGTGTGTGTGTGTGTGTGTGTGTGTGTGTGTGTGTGTGTGTGTATACAGGTGTCTTGAGTGTGAGTGAGGTTCAATGGGAACACATGATACCTGCTTTTCTCTTTTCTCTTCCACCTCCTCTCTTGCTCTTCTCTTTCTGTAAACCCCTTCCTCTTTCACATGGTCCCATTTCTTTATAGGAAGTTTTAAAACTGAGTCCTCCAACTTTGTTCTTTTCCAAGATTAGTTTAGCCATTCCTTATGCTGAAATCTTTGAATTAATTTTTGGAATCTGTCCATGTTAACAGAATTAAATCTTCCATTACACGAAAATGACAGCTTTTATTTACTTAAGTTATCTGTAATTTTGTTGGGCAGTGTTTTGTAGTTTTAGGTATACAAGTTATGAATTTCCTTAGTTAAGTTTATTTCTAAATACTCTTTTTGTTTTGTTTTTGTGTTTGAGATAGTCTCCCTTATAGCTCAGACTGACTTGAGCTTATGATCCTCCTGCCTCAGCCTGTAGAGTCATTGAATTATATGTGTGAACTTTTACTGGAAACAGAAGCAGAGATCCAGACATTTCAGTATAACAGCAACTAGACAGTAGGGTAACACTAAGGTTTTGTACATTTTTTTTGAGGTCCAAGCTGAGTCTGAAACATCTTTGAGCAAGAACTTTTTATAATCAATATTATTTAACACAAATGACTTTTTGCTACAGACCCAATATTGTGTCTTAAGGAATTCGCTAGATACATACTTAAATAAGAAGCCTTATCCAATTGTAAGGCCATTTTGACAAGAGTGAAATTACTCTAAGTACTCACCATACTGTCAAAAGTTAAGTCTGAGATTTCTTTTCATGCACAAGTGCTCAGTGGATGATAGTCTAAACTCCACATGTAATTTCAGTGGCTTTTTCTCCTACTCTACCTTCTCTTATTGCAGATTAGTGCTTGTTATTTTACTTTTACATTTTTAGGTCACTAGAAGTCAGGAGATAAACAGGAGTCATAAATCTGTATGGATTATTTTTGGGTGATTTTGTGTTAGGAGAAAATTCAATTTTGCCAGTTTTCTCTGAAGCAGCCTCATTTATTCATTGCCTTCAGCAGGGACGTCAGTGTTGGTGCTGCCTTTCTGTCAAGGAACAGAGTATGGCATTGAGAAGACACAGACAAATATGCTACAACATACTGTAATGGAGATGTGTGCAAATAAAGAACTATGTAGGAGGAGATGACTATGCTCATATAGGAGGTACATGAGACTCAAAGAGAGTGGCAAGGAAGGGGGAGAGGAAGTAGTATCTGGATTGGATTTTAGAAGTTAGACCTAGCAGTTCATCGGGTCAGAGTGTGGCATTCTGGGCAGAAGACACAGCACATGCACAGGACGGAAGCATGGGAGGTTTAGGAAATGTTTGTTTGTAGCCATGCTATTGGGAGGAGTGTCTGGAACAAGACTAGGATGGTAGGTTATGGCCAGATCGTTAAATACCTTCTGCACTATGTTCTGTAGATCTGGTTTGAGATGCAAATCCCAGGACAGGTTGCAATAGAGTTGCCTCAGAGACTGAGGTAAAGCTGCCTCCTTTCAAGCCATTAACCTTGGGTGATAAACTATCTAATCACATAAGAATATTTTCTGACTCCTTTTCTACATTTTACTCAATATAATCAGAAAAAAAAAAAAATAGCCAAATAGTAACACCCAGTGTTTGTGTAAACTGAATTGAAACATCAGTGATTTGGAGATTTGAGAGGTGAGACTTTTATCTTAGAAGGTATGGATTGCTGGTGCAGGAGAGATAGCACAGAAGTTAAGAGGGCATGCTGCTCTCACAGAGAATCTGAGTTCAGCTCCCAGCACCCATATAGTAGCTCACCATCATCTGTAGCTCCAGCACCTTCTTCTGATCTGCTCGGGTACCAGGCAATCATTTGTTGCACATACATGAAGGCAAAAGGCTTATATGTATAAAATAAAAATAAATAAATCTTTTAAAAGAGGTATTGAATTCCAAGTATCATCGCAGATACCTGTCATCTCATTGCTCAATTAGCTCAGGCGGGCAGATTATGAGTCTGAGGTTGGCATGAGCGAGCTACGTAATAATGTTTGAAGCCAGTCAGAACTCCATAGGGAGGGAGACCCTACCTGAAACAAAGATAGTGAAATGGTGTTAAAAAAAAACGGTGTACTTGAGCATGTTTTGGATACATGCCTAGGAGTGGGATAGCTGGATCTTGAGGAAGCACTATTCCTAATTGTCTGAGAAAGCTCCAGATTGATGTCCAACATGGTTGTACAAGTTTACATTCCCACCAGCTATGGAGGAGGATTCTCCTTTCTCCACATACTCTCCAGCATGGGTTGTCACTCGAGATTTTGATCTTAGCCATTCTGATGGGTGTAAGGTAAAATCTCAGGGTCGTTTTGATTCGCATCTCCCTGATGACTAAGGACGTTGAGCATTTCTTTGTTTCTCTGACATTCTATATTCCTCTACAGAGAATTCTCTGTTTAGCTCCATACCCCATTTTTTAATTGGATTGCTTGATTTGTTGCTTTTTAACTTCTTGAGTTCTTTATAAATTCTGGATATTAGCCCTCTGTCAGATATAGAGTTGGGTAAGATCCTTTCCCAATCTGTAGGCTGTCGTTTTGTTCTGATGACAGTGTCCTTTGCTTTACAGAAGCTTTTCAGTTTTATGAGGTCCCATTTATTGTTTATCTTAGAGCCTGTACTGTTGGTGTTCTGTTCAGTAAGTTGTCTCCTATGTCAATGAGTTACAGGCTCTTCCCCACTTTTTCTTCTAAGAAATTTATGTTGAGGTCTTTGATGCACTAGGACTTTAGTTTTGTGCAGAGTGATAAATATGGATCTATTTTCATTTTTCTGAATGTAGACATCCAGTTGGACCAGCACCATTTGTTGAAGATGCTGTCTTTTTTCCATTGAATGGTTTTTGCTTCTTTGTCAAAAATCAAGTACCCATAGGTGTGTGGGTTTATTTCTGGGTCTTTTTTTTTTTTTTTTTTTTTGTTCCATTGATCCACCATTCTGTTTCTGTGCCAATACCATGCAGTTTTTATTACTATTGCTCTGCTCAAGTACACAATAAGGATGTTTGTTCAACCATGTTTGTAGCAGCTTTATTCATAATAGCCAGAACCTGGATACATTGGTGTCCCTCAATGGAGGAATGGATATAGAAATTGTGGAACATTTACATAAGGGAATACTACTCAGCAATTAAAAACAAGGAAATCATGAAATTTGCAGGCAAATGGTGTGATCTAGAAAAGATCATCCTGAGTGAGCTATCCCAGAAGCAGAAAGACACACACAGTATATACTCACTTATAAGTGGGTACTAGACCTATAAGATAGGACAAACATACTAAAATCTACACCTAAAGAAGCTAAAAAAGAAGAGGTTCCAGGGTAAGATGATCAATCCTCGCTTAGAAAGACAAATGGGATGGACATTGGAAGTAGGAGAAAACAAGAAACAGGACAGGAGCCTACCATAGAAGACCTGAAAGACTCTACCTAGCAGTATATCAAAGCAGATGGTGAGACTCATAACCAAACCTTGGGCAGAGTACAGGAAATCACAAAAAAAGGGGGAGTTAGTGAGACCTGGAGAGGACAGGAGTGTCACAAGGACCAAATATATCTGGGCACAGGGGTCTTTTCTGAGGCTGATTCTCCAACCAAGGACCATGCATGGATATAACCTAGAATCCCTGCTCGGACATAGCCCATGGCAGATCAGCATCCAAGTGGGTTCCCTAGAAAGGGGAACAGGGACTGACTCTGATGTGAACTCAGTGGCTGGCTCTTTGACCTCCCCCCAACCCCCCGAGGGAAGAGCAGCCTAGCTAGGCCACAGAGGAGGACATTGCAGCCAATCCTGATGAGGCCTGATAAACTAGGGTCAGATGGAAGGGGAGGAAGACCTACCCTATCAGTGGACTTAGAAAGGGGCAGGGAGGAGATGAGGGAGGGAAGGTGGGATTGCGAGGGAATGAGGGAGGGGGCTACAGCTGGGATACAAAGTAAATAACCTGTAATTAATGTAAAAAATAAAATTATTTAAAAAACGGTTTTGTCTTAATAAATAATTATTTTTAAAAAGCTTGCTTCAGTTGGCCTGCATTTATTATTTTCTGAAATGTTTACTTTTCTTTGTTTTTTAGTGGACAGAGGATTGCAGAAAATCAACTTACCCTCCTTCTGGACTAACGTGAGTTACTTCAGATTACCAAACCATTGTCCTTTGCACAGACCCTTCTCTGTAATGTTTCTCTAGACACAACAGTAGTAAAAGAAATGTAAGCTGTGTCTTTCACCTGGAGACATGGATTGCTTTCCTTTTATGTGTGTGTTATGTGTTTGATTAAGGCAGATATGAAGGTAATCTGATTTCCTTCTTTTCTATTTCTTCCCTGTCACCAGACCTACTTTATCTCCTAGAGAGGATTTTTTGCTCTATGACAAATGGAGTCATGTATACCCACTGAGCTGTGATGCTCTGTGATCCCTGGATATGCACCCTCAGAGTACTTTGGAACTTATAAAGGAACTTGTATATGAACGAGTCAAGAAATAAACCTTGACTTGATAAAGCTTTTTTTAAGCAAAAGAAGATCAAAAACCATAAGACAAGGAATGAAGCCATCTTTTATTTTAGTCTAACATTTTTAGCTTACAGTTTGTCTTACCAAATCTTCTGATGAGATAAGCCTGAGAAACTTGCAGTTCTAGGAAGAGGCATACAGGGAAGAGGCATGCAGGAAAAAGCTCATGTCTTCGCCCCCTCTCCTTCTCTCCTGCTACAAGTACACTTCCGGGGCGGAAGGAGCAGAGTATAGCCAAGGCGTTCAGTTTTTGTGGTGTTACAAGTTCTAACCGGCCCTCTGTGCCAGTACACTTGGGACACTGGAGTGCCACTCCACATCCATGCCTTTAAGCATTTCTGCTGCTGATTGACTGCTTACCATCTGTTGTTTGTACATGTGTGTGTTCTGTCCTTTGGTTTAGACTGTAGACCACCTGAGGAGAAGGTAGGCTCAGGCAGTGTGGTCTATGGTATGGTCTGGGCATTGAGATGCCGGGTTTCAGACGCTGAGATGATGTTGTTTGTAGTGAAGTAGAAAAATGCACTGTGGCAGTTACCACCAATGGAGCATTACTTACTGTTGGTGAAGGGGAACTGTGATAACCTAAGCTGCCTTTGTGTGAATACCTAGGAGTGCAGCTTCAGTAAAGGTCTTTTCCATCACCACTGATGCCATCTTGGCCTTCATGCTTTCCTGATTGTGTCTTTTGGCTGGTCTTACTGCCCAATTCACTGAACATTTAATGAGCAATTTAAAAGACCTATACTAAAGGGTTTTCTGCCCTTTTCCCTCTGGTCTTTTGAGACAGGGTTTCCTTGTGTAGCATTGGCTGTCCTGGACTTGTTTTGTAGACCAGGCTGGCCTTGAACTCACAGCTATCCACCTGCCTCTGCCACCCTGAGTGTTGGGATTACAGGCATGTGCCACCATGCCCAGCTTTTCTACCTTCTTTTAAATGTATTTTACATGTATTTGGGAATCTGTTTCCTTACAAATTGTTAGCCTTCCCTGAATAGACATAATACAACTTCTTACTCTATGTGTATATGTGTGCATGTCTGTACCTATATGTTGTGTGTGTTTTCCTTTCTTGCATGCCATTTCTGCTGTTATTTCTTCCAGCTTCACTGTTCCATTCTTCAACACTGAAATCCTCTGCCCTACCCTTAACCTTTTTTTTTTTTTTTTTCCTGAACTGTAGAGCAATAGCTCTTGACATCTGGGAGATAAGGGTGGCATTCATATTCTTTTAATTGGTGAATGTCTAAATAGTCCTACGAGGTCATCCTTTTCATCTAAGTTCATGAATCTTGGTGGCACACACCAGCAAATGTGAGGGAGGAAGGGACACCTGTTCATCTGGTCTCACCAGTCACATCAATGCAGATATCCAGGAACTGACAACCACATCACCCTGCATCCATTGCAATCCCATTAAACGTTTCTTTGCTGCTGCTCATTGGCAGCTTTATGCCTGCTCTTTTATTTGTACAGATGTGTGTTGTGTCATTTGGACTAGTTTGTAAGCCACCTGGAAAGTCAGCTGCATTCCACTATTATTACAATAGCTATTTCTCAAATATTGACATGTTTACACTGCTTATGGTAAAATAGAAAACATATAGTGGAAATCTCTATTGATCATTAGTGAAAAATATTTTCTACATGTTTCATGTAATCTCCACTGCCCTCATAAGATAGGCACTTTTTATGTGTATAGGAAGGCAATGTGTACTTTTTAAATACAAGAATATCTTGGAAAAGATATTTATTGTGAGATAAAATATAAGACTAAATTAAGCTTTAATTATTAAAACAACTTTCTTAATCAGATTAACCAGTTCTCAAAAAACGCTGATTATTGAAGGTTTTATTATCAAGGTTTCCCAGGTCTAACTAGTCCCAGTTTTGATCCTCTCTGATAGTGATCTTCTTTCCTCTCCATTTCCTCTGTAAGATTCCTAGACCTGTCTAGTACTCGACTGAAGGAGACTCAACGAATTTATGGGAGGTGTTAGGGATATGCTGGTTATCTTGGAGGCGGAGAAGGGAAGAGCTGGTTGGAGTTCATGGATAGAATACCAGCCACCAACATGCACAGCTCTGATAGCACAGCACTTAGTTACTGCATCTAGACATAGAAATCCAGATGCCCAGCTTGGAGGAATAAAGGTTTAATTCCATTAGTCTCTGAGTGAGATGCCAGACTATTAGTCCATGGAGACACAATTTTACATGTGGAATCTGCAAAAGAAGGAGAAGGAGGATTATTATTGTTATAATGAAAAGTTTTTTCCCCCGAAGACTACAATATTTATGTAGGTATCAGCTAAGGAACAGAGGAACTTGAAAAGAACAACAAAATCAATTCATCGTAATTTTGTTGAAAGGTATATTTCCAAAATTGAGTTCATTTGTCTCTGCATCTAAATCACAGCATAAGAAAGTACTGGCTAACAACTTCATAAAACTTTACACATATACATGGATCCCAAGCTCAGCAACATCATTTAGAGAACCAAATATTGATGGTAGTAAAGTATACACAGAGGCCCAGTAAATGACTTTCAGGAAATAACCTATCTTTAGCTATACAAATAAGGTTAGATGTTCTGTTAAGAGCCTGGTAGCAATGCAACACACACCAATATGGACCTACTCTTTTCTCAATGTAGTAAATGGCTCAAGGGATGGATGTTTTTAATCTGACAAATTATTGGATGCTACATTCTTGAAAGCTGTTTTGATTTGTTTGAAAGTACTAGAGACAGGCTGCTGTGGTGGCCTGTGACCTCACTACCTGGTGGATGGAGCCAGGAGGATTGAGGTTCCTGAATTCAAGGTCATTTTTAACAACATAGCAAGATGAAGGCCGACTTGGACTACATAAGGCCTTGCCTCAACCTCTGCTCCCAAAATGGACCAGAAGATGAAGTTGCTGTAGCAGCAGAAGGAATTGTAGTTTGTATACCAGTATTATGGCCCAGCTCCATTATTAAGGGGGTAGACATCACTATATCCTCATAGCAGAGATTACTGTGTGTAAGTGTAGGAAACTGAGAGTGGATATGACAGGATAGTGTGTGGGCTTAGACCTGCTACAGACAGATAGAGTGGACATATGTACTGGGAAAGAGGAGTTTTCCTTGGAGGATCAGAGCCCATCTTGGGAAGCATGTACTTGTTGCACTGTGGGCTTACAAGGTAACATCAGTGAAGCCATCACAAGAGACAGCAATTTGGCAATAGTGTTAGATGAACTGACAGGGCATTCCAGACAGACCAGAAAACCAAGTGGTGAAGTGTCCTAGAGTCTAGACAGGTCTAGTGTCCTGAGCCTAGACTATACTGTTACAGATACTTGGGGGAAAAAAACAAAAATAGGTATTTTCTGTCAGCAGTGTTTTAAGTTGTTGAACCACAACTGATTCACGTATCACTAAGTCATATTAACCTGCCAGACATAATAGTTATAATTGTTTACTTGTAGAATTTATTTTTTGAGCCAGGGTCTCACAATGTAGCCAGCATCCTAAATACTGGGATTGCTATGGCTGGCTCAGAATGTATAATTCTGTTCTGTGATTTGAGTCTACTTCAAGTTGTATATGAAAAAGAGGGCTGAAGCACCAAATGCAAACTGTTCTTTCTTCATGAGTTTTGCTTTCTCTGAATTTTCTCTATACTGTTGCTGTGACTTTGTGTCTAGTCCACCCTTTCAGCTCTGTGACCCTCCGCCTAAAAGTCATTTTCTGCATGTCAAGATGGTGCCCTTTCATTGCAGTTATAGAGGACCAGTTCCATGGTACACCATAGATCTTGATTTACCACCCTACAAAAGATGGCATGAATTAATGGCTCAAAAGGCACCAATGGTATGTTGTGTTAACTCTTCTTGTTCTGACTTTATGGAATATAATTCTGCTTTTTAAAAAATACTTTATGAGTTGGATATGGGAGCTCACACCTATAATCCAAGCACTTGAGAAGACTGTTGCAGGACACAAGTGTTAGGAGTTTAGAGGCCAGCCTGGTCTACATAATGAGTTCCAAGGCAGCCTTGGCTATAGTGAGACCCTGTCTCAAAAATACTACTAAGGGGACTAGAGAGATGGCTTGTCATTTGAGAGTACTTGAGGGCACCCAGGATCAGTTCACAGCACCGTAGAGTGGCTCACAATCACGTGTAACTGGTTCAAGGGGCTTGGATGCCCTCTTGGCCTTGTTGGGCACGGGGCACGCATGTGCTACACATACGTAAATGCTAATGCTCATACATATAAAATAAAAATAAATAAATCTTTTAAAATTACTGCTAAAGGTATAGAGGTTTATATATTTGATACCCTACTGCATGCATAGTAATTGATAGAAGGAAATATGTCATTTTCCTGTAGCTTTTTGTGGGTGTTGGGGGGTAGAATTTGTCTCTCTTTCCCTTTGTACCCTCTTCCTTTAATGAAATGATTAAGAACCAATGTTACTTTAAGAAGAAAATTGTGTTCATATATTCATTGGAAATACTTTCAAATTGAACTATTATGTTTTATATTTTTATTACACATATTTGGTAATCTTAAATCTCAGTACTTTATTTAAGTCTTTTTAGTGTTTTATTTATTTTTTCAGGTGAAGATTATAATAAATTCAGTGATGAATTTAGTAAACACATTTGTGCCAAGTGGAAAAATAATGCAATACGTGGATCAAAAGTTGGTAAGAAATATTTTCCCCAATCAATTTTAAGGACATGCATATAAACACATGTACCACATACATCAAGAATTTTAAAAATGTACTTGGGTATAGAGAGACTGAAGCAGCAAGCACAGGCCTAGATGGGTCTACATCAGGTTCTCTGTGTTTCTGGATCTGGAGGAGAGTGGGGGGTCACTCCTGATTATAGGAACCAGTGGGTCTCTGACTCTTTGCCTTATCTTGGGACTCTTTCCTCCTGTTCTCCCATGTCCAACTTCAATATGCTAGTTTTTGATTCATCGTATTATATTTTATTTTGTCAAGTTTGGTAGTTATCTCTTAGAAGCCTGATCTTCTCTAATAAAAGACAGAAAGGGAATGGATCCAGAAGGGAGGAACTGGGAGGAATAGAAGGAGAGAAAAGTATAATCAGGACATTTTATGTGGGAAAAGAATATTTTCAACAAAAGAAAAAATCATGCATGGAATTTATTTAAGAAATAATTCACTGACCTTTTCTCAAGAACTTTAGGGGATATTTACATTTTTTAAAAACCACTGTCAAACTTGAGAGAACCTTCAATTCTAAGGATTAGATTATTAGAGTCAGAGAATCAAAACACAGCAGGCTGTAGTAGTTAAGTGCTTCTTGCTTTTTGGGCAGCATCACAAAGGAATGAGAAAACATACAGAGCTCACCAGGAGTACGGGGTTTCTTTCTCCTATAGTTAAGTATACAGGTAGACTACTGAAAACCTAGGTTTTTCCCCTGAGAGTATAGCTTGGTGGTAGAGCAGCATGAGTTCTCATGAGTTATAACAGTTAGCATGTCAGAAAGCCCAGATTTGATCCCAGCAAAAATTAGTTCAGGTTTTAAAAGCACTTTCTACAAGTAACTCAAGAAATTCAGAGATTTCTCTACGTAAAGATAAAATGACATGTTCGGCCTAACCATGTATCCTATGGGTCCATTGATGTGACCCTTAAACCTCAGTTGTGTTTTACTATTTCTTGTGGCTAGGCAATCACCAAATGATTTTTTTTTTCTTGACCCCCAGCCCTGCAGGAAGACTCCATTTCTCAATACCTTTTAAATTTAGCTTCTGTAAATAAAGCATTGTCTATGGACTGGCCTCAGACCTCCCAAGGTGTCCTCGTCATATTTTAGATCTGCTGCAGGTGCAGGTCATGGAGAAGCTGGAAGGCTCAAGAACAGATTTAGAGAACTAAGGATTTTAGGATTGAATACTTTTTTAGATGCAGGTATAGCCTCTACCTACTGCTTTGTTTTTGTTGTTTTGAGACAAGGTCTCACTCTGTAGCTCTGGCTGTCCTGGAACTCAGTATGTAAACCAGAATGGCCTCATACTCAGAGTGATCTGCCTGCCTCTGCCTCCCATGGGCTGCGGTTAAAGGTGCATGCTACCACACCTGGCTACCTTGTGCTTCCTCCTTCAGTTGCAGCAACCAAAAATTTCATGAGCCATTGCCATCTCCTCTAGGACAGAACTGCCATAGTTGAGAACCATTGTCCTAGAGGCTGGATGAGCAAAGCAGCAACTCCTTCCTTTTGACCGTTGCCAGCCAGCACACCTACTGGAACATGTTTATGTTCTCACCTTACCAAAGTTATCAAATGCGTTAAACCTAACAGTTTTGCCCAGAACAGGAGTTGGTAGGAACAAAAGGGGAATGAGACCTGCCTGCACCACTTCCTAAGCCCCCTTCTACTCTGAGTGTCCCAAGTGCGAGTTTGGTGTGGTTTGGAGCCCAGCATCCCTGCATTTCAAGGATGCACCAGTTTTGCACCATTTGGAAGGGTAATATTACTAATAATACATATTTCATATTATGACTCTGAAGACTAAATGGCACATCACTCTCTGTAGAGTGTCATGCTTAACATTCGTTCATTAAGTCATGTTTGTTAATTGGCTGGAACATCGTACTCTCAGTGCTTTGAATTCACAGGGAAACAAATTATATGCTTAGCAAGGTCACCTTATGGAGACCTTGTTGGGGCAGCGAGATGGCTCATTGTCAAGCTGATGACCTGAGTTCCATCACCAGAGCCTACATAGTGGGAGGAGCAAGCCAACACCTGCAAGTTGTCCTTTGACCTTCACACATGCCTTATGATGAGTGTGTACATATACCTCATACACAAAATACATAAACAAACGAAAAAGAAAAACAGAACTTTTTAAACACATTGTCTTAGCGAGAGAATATAAATTGTGCTCTCAGTATTTGTGCTTAGTTGAGGTTGAGAATAAGATACAATGTCCATCAAGAATTTGCTCATCTGCTTGCTTATTATACAACTGATGCAACCTAAGACCAGCCATTAACAATGACAGTTTTGAGAAGTGGTTTTGTGAAGAATACTGTATTTTTTTGCTGAGTCTTGCCAGTTGGTAAAGAGTGAATAAGCAGAACTTTGCTCATTATGTTGATCTAGATGGTAGGTCATTTTAAGTCAAGCAGGTAAAATGATTCATGTGTCATTCTCTGTGGGGACTGGGCCAAAGATCAGGAGGAAAACATCAAAATCTAAGTATCACAGGTTTTTGTAGGAGTTCAACACTGAGCATTATATAAAATCTCTTAGAAATACATGATGTAAACGCTTTAAAAATAACTTACTACCTGTTGGGGTAACAGTATTTTACAGAGCTTTAGCAGAGAGCCAGATGGCAAAGCATGTCACTTAAGTTGAGTGGGCACTGCTTTCTTTCCTTTCAGCCTGGTGTGTTGGGCAACATTCCTGGCCCTTTTGAAGAGGAAATGAAGGGAATTGCAGATGTTACTGGGATTCCTTTAGGTAAAGTTCATCTTGTAGTGCTTAAGACATTTAATAAAACATTGTGATAGATATTTGTGGTAAAATCTGATATATACAGTGAAATGCATTAATCCTAAGTGTGAATAGCTCATTGAAGGTTTCCACAGGCATCCACACAGGTATGTGAAATTCCAGTCCTCCAAAATGCTTCATCTGCCCTTTCACAGACATTGTTGCCTCCACATATAACCCTGTTCTGTGTTCACCATGTTAAAAATAAAACTGAGCACTTGAATTTTGGTACTTTCTTAAACCTCTCATCTAGGTTGTTTTCAGATTTTGCTTATTAACAATGGGGCTGTTGTTGATGTATGTATACATGCATTGTTGAACGTTTTTTAATGGCTCTACACACTAATTTCTCTTGAACTGAACTTTCGAGTCACAGGGTAGCTAGCTATGTATGTAGCCTTATAAATCCTGTAAGACAGTTTCCTAAAATGAACAGACTTATTGACAGCATGAGAAATTCAACTTTCTTTCATTGGCACTATATTTTCCTGGTGAGTTACTGACTTTTTTCTTCATTTTTCCCCCTATATTCCTTGATTTGGGGGAAGGGCAAAACGTTAGCAAAGTTTTTTTTTTTTTTCATATATTTCTAATTGATGAAGGACCATTTACTGAAATCGATTATCTTTCCTTCCACAGTGATATCTTTGATCTAAATCAGTTTGACTGCATGTACCTGGCTCTGTTTGTGAACTTTCTGCAATCTTCTGTCAACCTCATGCTACCTCAGCTACTAAAGCTTTGCAGTTCATTGTAGCAGAGTAATTATTCACCTGTGCCTTCCCTTAGCTTTCTGCTGGCTATCTTGTTCGCCTGCATTCCCACATGCTTTGGAATCAGCTGGCCACCTTAAAACTTGATGTTTTGAATGAACTTACTAAATCCTTGAATATAGTTTAATGTCAACCTTTGTTTAGGCATTGATTTCTCAGGGGCATTTTTTTTTTAATTTGGGGAAGAAAGGTCATTACATTATATATAAAATTATTCTTAGGTAGTGATAATTTAGGCAGCTAATTTCTGTTTTCTTGGTTTCCCTTGCCCCCTTTTTAAAGCAAATATTCACTGCTGGGTAGTGAATATTTTCAGGATCCTGCTCTGCTTAGGGGCAGAGGGTTTTGGAGCATTCACAGCCTTGTCCAGCTCTCAAAAGTTTTCAGTTTGTATCATTTATAGAAGCAATCAAAGTAATCAAGTCACCATGTTATGTAACCAGTAGTGCTTTTCAGAAGAGAATTAATGGAAAATTTCTGTTGTTTCTCAACGAAGTTGGCTAGTGCTTTTGTTTGTTTCGCTTCACTTAATGATTTTTTTTTTAAGGGGTGGCAACATAGATCAACAAGTGAAGGGGCTTGTTGCTAAAGCTTACAACCGGAGTTCTAGATTCCCAGAACCCACGTTTTTCTTCTCATCACCCCTGTGCACCATAGCAAAGTTACACATACATCTGTGCATGCATAAGTGCACATATAAATAAACAAATACAAAAACATCCTGACTGCTGGGTAGAAGTGATGCACACCTTTAGTCCCAGCACTCAGGAGGCAGAGGAGGTAGGTCTCTGAGTTCAAGCTAGCCTGGGCTACAGTGTGCGTTCCAGAACAGCTAGGGCTACACAGAGAAACCCTGTTGACAAAAACGTTCTAACTGAAAAACAATTTCAAATGATAACATAGTGGAAATACGTACTCGTCTACCTGAGGAAGAAAGTCTTATATCAAAAGTTGTCACGGTAATTACCAAATATAAATATCTCAAGAAAAATGGATTAACAGTTGATAAGAGTGAGATTCAACTGAAAATAGACTGAGGTAAAAATGAATATTAAGCACAGTGTGTTAGCATTTAACAAGACAGAGAAAAGCATGCTACATACCTTAAGATTAAAAGCTGAATGGCATTTTCCTTATACTCTCATAATTATTGATGATATTAATCAAAAACTTCTTTTCCCCCCCCCACAGGGGAGATTATTTCATTCAACATTTTCTATGAATTGTTTACCATGTGTACATCAATAATAACTGAAGATGAAAAAGGTAATCTGCTCAGGGTGCATGGCAGCACTGAGTACAGCATAAAATATAGTTTTTTAGAGTAAAATCAGAACTTTACTAACCACGTTTGCTGTTTAAATTGTATATTGTGCATAGCTTAGTATATCCTGGTACATTTTTATAAGTGCACTGAAAATCAGCCCTATTTTAAGACTACTGTAATGCTTATTAAACCTTCAATGAGACATGTGGAAAATGTAGAACTGTTCTAGACTAGAAACATTCTTTTTTTAAAAAGATTAATTTTATGTGTATAAGTGTTTGACTGAATATATTGTGTGTGCACCGCATGTATGTCTGGTACCCAAGCGGGGCAGAAGAGGGCATCTGATTCTTCACAACTGGAGTTGCTAACAGTTACAAACTACTGGGTGGGTGTTGGGAACTGAACCTCTGCTGTCAGCAAGAGCAGCACATGCTCTTAACTGCTAAGCCTTCTCTCCAGCCCCCCAAAAACATTCTTTTTTTCTGCGCAGTCCCCATCTGTATAATTTAGGAGAAGTCCTCACAGAGGTCCTTTGTTACCTTGAGTAGACACTGTCACTACTCCCTCTTCTCCTCTCCTCCCTGCCCCAACCCCCTCCCTATTCTTCAGATAAGGGGAGCCACCCCCACCAATCCTCATCAGCACATCAAGTCGCATCAGGACCAAGTGCATCTTCTTTCTCTGTGGCCTCACAAGTCAGCTCCACCAAGGGGAAGTGATCAAAACTAGGCAACAGGGAACAGAGTCCATGTCAGAGATAGCCCACTCTCCCCTTTCTAGTGGACCCACATGAAAGCCAAGCTATCCATTGGCTATGTAAGTGAAAGGGGCCTAGGTCCAGTCCATGCATGGTCCTTGGTGGGTGCATCAGTCTCCACAAGAACCCCTTCCCGCCCCACCTCCCTGGGCCTGGGTTAGTTGGTTCTGTTGGACTTCTTGTGGAGCTCTTGTCCCCTTCAAGTCCTTCTATTCTTCACCCCACTCTTCCACAGGGCTCCCTACTCTCCACCTAATGTTTGGCTGTGAACCTCAGCATCTGTTTCTATCCGCTGCTGGGTGGAGCCTCTCAGAGGACAGCTATGCTAGGCTCCCATCTGCAAGCATAACAGAGCACCATTAATGGTGTCAGGGGTTGGTTCTGTCTCATGGGTCTCAGGTTGGGCCAGGCGTTGACTGGCCAATCCCTCAATCTCTGCTTCATCTTTATTCCTGCCCATCTTGTAGGCAGGGTAAATTTTGGGTCAAAGTTTTTATGTGTGGTATCTCCTCCCTCTACTAGCAGTTCTGTCTAGTTAGAGGGTGGCCTCTTCAGTCTCCATGATCACTGCTAATAGGAGTCTGAGCTAGATTCGCCCCCATATTCTCCCAGAAGCCCACCCTGTTGTAGGTAGACAAGCTGGGGCATCAGGTTAGAAGCATCAGAGAAACCACCCATGATTTCTCTTCTCTGTATAAGCCCTCTGTCCTCCTGCCCCATCTCCCCACATCTGATCTCCCCTTGAGTCCTCCTTGTTATTTATCTTCTTTAGGTCAGTGAATTGTAGTATGGTTATGCTGTACTACATAGCTAATATCAATTTATAAGTTAGTACATACCATGTGTGTCTTTCTGGGTCTGGTTACCTCACTCAGGATAATCTTATCTAGTTCCATCTATTTGCCTGCAAATTTCATGATTTCCTTGTTTTTAAAGGCAGCACTTAAAAACTCAAAGCCCACCCCCAGTGACACACTTCCTCCAAAAGGGCATGCATAAGACTTCTCAAATAGTGCCACTCCCTGGTTACTAAGTATCCAAATGTATGGGCCAGTAGAAGCCATTCTTATTCAGATCAGCACAGGCAGTGACAGATGTTTTTCTGGAGACCCAGAACAAACATAATTTTCCAGATAATAAGCATTATGTATAAGAACCTGGCTTTCCTGTATTTTTCCTGGCTGGTCCCCAAGGTCACAAGGCACCCAAGGCACAAGATGGCCTTTCATTTACTGTGACTTTTGACCTACACCTAATACTTGAGATGTCCATGTATAAGTAGCAATCAAGGAATTGGGCAGGTCACATTGAGAGAGGTTAAGATCTCTATGTCCCGGTAGAACTGCTTTGTAGTTGTCCAAGGAGTAACCATTGATTTGTTTTCATATCTGATCTAGAGTCCTCTGATCTCAGATGTTAGATACTGCCCCAATGTGATAATAATAACAGTTTGAATTTGCTAAGGATTTTTTTTCTGGCTGCCAGGCTTCTTAATTATTATATATTGCTAGGTAAAGCAGTTGTGAATATAAATATTCATGTCTACTGTGTCTGTCTGTGATCAAGAATCCATTGTACTTTAACTGTGGACACATGTCTCTGCCATTTCCTTCATAATAGGCCACTTACTACATGGAAGAAACATGGATTTTGGATTATTTCTCGGGTAAGTAAGCAACTTGGCATCTTTTCACTCCATGGGAAGTCTAGACTGTAGTATCACCTTGATGAAAAGTAGGTTCCCCCTCCCCCATGTGCGGAAGATAACCTCAAGTGACAATGACTGGATTCCAGTGTTGGGAAGGCAGGCACACTGGGTGGACTTAGGAGTCTCAGTGACTTAGGAGTTGTAGCTCAAACGTTACACCTAGTGAACAGGAATTGAGACCCTGCTTGATAGACACAGATTATTTTCATTTCTTGCTTAGAGAAATCTGTCATTTTGACCTTTATGGAAAAAAAAATGATGGTTAGAGATCTGTGATTAGAGATCTTCCTTTGACTCTGGCTCTCACTAGTTGTGTGACCAGAGCTAATAAACTTTTCTGGGCCTTAGTTTTACCACCTGGAAAGGGGATAGAATCACCCAGTTTTGGATGAAGAAAACTATTCTGGCTCACAGGTCAGAGGTTTCAGTCCATGGTCAGCTGCCTCCTCTATTTTTAAGGCTGGTAAGGCATAGCATCATGTTGGTGGGGACAGGTATCAGAGGAAGCTGCTCACCTTATAAAGTCAGGAATGCAGTAAAGACAGTATAACCCCCAAGGGTATACACTCAGTGTCCTGCTTTCTTCATATTCCTAAATTTGCATTTATCACCCAATAATCTCTCAGATTACTAAACCACCAGTGGATTAATCTAATCACTTCCCAAAGCCGTACCTCTGAACACTGGTGTACTGAGGACTGGACCTTTACCACATGAGCCTTTGAGGGACATTTCAGATCCAAACTATCACTCAATCATAAAGGTCTTGTTAAGGTTGATCCAAGGTGACCAGGTAGGAAAAGCACCTATAAATCAGATATTGTATTTCAGGCCTGTAATTCCAGCCCTTGGAAGGTTGAGGTAGCAGGATTACAAATCGAAGCCATCGTGGATTCCATAGCGAGACTCAGTCACACACGCACATGGTATCATGTAATGCCTGATTCTCACCTTCATCTCTGTCTTTAATGTCTCCAACATTTGTCTTTTTTAGGTGGAATATAAATAACAACACTTGGGTTATTACAGAAGAATTAAAGCCTTTAACAGTGAATTTGGATTTCAAAAGAAACAAAAAGACTGTTTTCAAGGCTACAGGCTTTGCTGGATATGTGGGCATATTGACAGGATTCAAACCAGTAAGAAATGTTCTACAACTTTTATAAGCAGTTTTGTGTGCTGATTTTACTGTCTGGGAGTCTAAGAAAATGAGGACATAAAAGAATATGAAGGTAGGCATGATAGCACATGATAGTCAATCCTAACACTTTGGAGGCAGATCTTGGTGAGTTCAAGGCCAGTCTGGTCTATATAGTGAAATCCAGACCAGCCAGGACTACATAGTGAAACCCTATCTCAGACAGGCAAAGAATCTGAAGCCCATTTTATTCCCTTGTCCTTATCACTTATGTCAGTATGAGACCCTATGCCACAGAAAAGTAGGAAAATAAAATGTTTTCTGTGCCTCTTTGAAAATAAAGAGCATGTAGCTGGCTGTCAAGGTCTCAAAGTAAAAATAGGGGTCAGGCCTGGGCCTCCTTTTTACTTAGGCAAGTCATGATGAGTTCATGATTTTGTGCTGTTCATTTGACAAAGCGTGTGGCCAGTAACTTCCTGTCTAACTCATCTCACATTACCCAGTACCCAGTTCAGGTCTTTCTATACTACTGTCCTGGTACAGATGTGGGACCTTCAAGAGCACATTGATATTGCTGACTGCATTGCTTTTTGTTTTTCTCAGGGACTGTTTAGTCTTACACTAAATGAACGTTTCAGTATAAATGGTGGTTATATGGGTGAGTGAAATGTCTGGAAATGCAATGGGAATCTTTGTAAGGGAGGGCAGTAATCTAACCTTCTCTCACTCCTGTGACACTGTCTGCATTTTGTCTCTTCCAGGTATCCTAGAATGGATTTTGGGAAAGAAAGATGCCCAGTGGGTAGGGTTTATCACCAGATCAGTTCTGGAAAATAGTACAAGGTGAAGTGATTTGTTGCTTTATTATCAAACAGCTCTGCTAAGTAACTCATTAACATATAGAAGTATTTACCAAATCCTAGTTTCACATCCATTGAGGAACTGTTGTGGTATTTCTTAGGTGATTCTTTGACATTCACTTGGAATTATTCCTATTTTCTGTATGTTCTGTGCTCTCATAGCAAAGCAATGAATGGAATTATTTAGAAGTATTAAGAGATACTGACAGTAGGAAGATATAAGTTTCTTTTGTTAGACAAAAAAATTATAGCATGTGCATAGCAAATGTTATATAGTAAAATCTTTATATACATGGTAATACATTGAATACATAAATTGTAGTACATATTAACCTAAAAGTTATAGTCTGTTGATATGCTGGAATGCCATATTGTCTTTAATACATAATGTTCACATGATTTGGGATAAATGAGGCTGTATCTTATTTTTAATACTTTCCAGGGAAGAGAAGTCTTCTTTGATTATCTACTTCAGCTCTTTTTTGTTTTTGTTTTTGTTTTTTTCTGAAATACAGTTTCTCTGTGTAGCCTTGACTGTCCTGGACTCCCTTTGTAGACCAGGCTGACCTCAAACTCACAGAGATCTGGCTGTCTCTCCGAGTGCTGGGATTATAGGCATGCACCACCACTACTGGCTTCCACTCAGCTCTTGATAGTCCTTACTTTCAAAATTACTTTCTGTTCTCCAAGTCGTGTGTGTGTGTGTGTGTGTTATAGCACATACCTTCAGTCCTAACACTTTGGAGACAGATCTTGGTGAGTTCAAGGCCAGTCTGGTCTACATAGTGAGATCTAGACCAGCCAGGACTACATAGTGAAACCCTATCTCAGACAGGCGTGTGTATCACACTTTTGTTTGTTTGTTTTGTTTTGTTTTTTTAGGCAGGATCTAATATATTCTGAGCTGGTCAAATTCACTATGTAGCCAATGATGACCTTGAACTCCTAATCCTTCAGCCTCCACTTTCATTAATAGACATCCACCATACCTAGTTTATGTGGTGCTGTAGAGTGAGCCCAGACTTTTGTGCTTGCTAGGCAAGTATCCTACCAACTGAACTACTGCCTTAGCCTCGCCCCAGGACTGTAATTACATTTCCCTTTTGTTGTTGAATAAAAGGCATAGGTAGGAAAGTTAGAGCATGACTCTTGGGATCACCTTTATATTAGAGGTCCTCCTAAAATTCCAACGTACAGATTATTGGTCCTTCTACTATCATTGCTCACAACCCTTCTTCAAAAGCATGTTCCTTAGCCAGTGGCCTCCTCAACTTCCCATTCAGCTCCTTTTTTGTCTAGAAAATGCTTTAACTCCAAGAATATGGGTGTATAAAACATGTATATAGAGCAGACATTTACTGTACAGAAATTTACTTTAAAACAGTTCTTTGGTATACATAGAATTTTACTATTAATTAAAGAAAAAGGAAATGTAAACATGAATGACATGGATGTACCTTTTATTTTATATGAAGAATAAAATCCTGACTAAATATTTGTTACCACAGGATGTAGAACATCTTCATTTTTCAGAGTTGATTGTCAATGTTCAGAATGCCATTTTGTAAGTTCTGTCATAATCCCTAGCCAAATTTCATTTTACAATTTTTGAAACTCATCAGCAGCTCAAATAGTAATTTTTAAAACTAGAGGCTAAAGCGATGGCTCATTGATTAAGAGAACTTGCTGTTCTTGTAGAGGTTCCAGCTTTGGTTCCCATCCCTCAAATGGCAGCTCACAACCTCCTGCAACTCCAGTTCCATAGGCACTGATGCCCTCTTCCATACACACATACACACACTCACACACACATGTAAACATGATAGTATTTTTAAAAGTTCTAATGCAATTCAACCCAAAGGTAAACTGGTTTACAATTGAGGAATAAAAGAAAATTATTAAAAGGTTTTGTTTCCATAATTAAAATATTATTTGTATAGGAGCAGAAAATCAAAGAGGTATAGTAATTCATAACAGGGCTTTAATTCTAGCTGCTGTCCTGAGGGTGAGCTGAGGTGTTGACCAGAGCAATGCAAAGTGCACATTCAGAACCAAGGCTGCAAGGAAGTTGCACATGCAATTCAGGAAAGCACTCCCAGAAACGCCTTAGGCCTCAGATTCAGTTCCCATTATTTGATTTAGACTAATCTTTGGTCATTGCACATGCAAAAACTTAATTGTTGCTGTGTGTGTGTGTGTGTGTGTGTGTGTCTACATTCAGTTAAATCACTCCATAAGGGGCCTCAGATACCTGTTGTTTGCCTTTAGTTCCTACAACTAAAACACATTATTCAGAATCAAATAAAAAATGCTTACTTTTAAAAATGCTCCTATGCAGTTATGAAGAAGCCAAGAATACACTGGTCAAGACCAAGATAATGGCCCCAGCATATTTTATCCTGGGAGGCAACCAGTCTGGGGAAGGTTGTGTGATTACACGAGAAAGAAAACAGGCTTTGGATGTATATGAGTGAGTACATTTGATGAAGCAAAATAAGTAAAAACAAGAACCAAGGCAAATGGAAAGCCTAAGAGGGAATCTCTCTTTTCACATCTAGACTTGATCCTAAGCATGGCAGATGGTATGTGGTCCAAACCAATTACGACCGGTGGAAAAACACCTTGTTCATTGATGACCGCAGAACACCTGCAAAGATGTGTCTAAATCGCACAACACAGAAGGTACATTTGCATTGTCACGTAGAGAGAGAGACACTGTCCTGACTAAGGATTATCTTAGTTCTGGCGTTTTTCTTTGATCTTGAAGAAATTGTAAACCTGTTACTGAGTATCTCTAGACATACCATATGGACTTTTGCTATTGGACTTAAGGAGCAAATTTTTGCTGTAATTTTCCTTCCTTACACTAATGCCAGATACCATTCTATAAAGTTAAATAAGAGAATTTCAAAACTGGAGGAGAGAACGAAAAAAAAAAGTGATACATTAGAACTGTCACCTTTGTTTCTAGCAGTGACTCTAGGGAGATGGTTTTGGAAGACTGAAAAATGTTTTAGTCTTTAATGACCCACCTGTATGGATAAATTCTACTAAAGGACTGTATTTAACCTTCTCAACAAAATTGTTTTTGTGTTTTAGAATCTCTCGTTTGCAACCATCTATGATGTCTTATCAACAAAACCTGTCCTCAACAAGGTATTTATATATACACATACATACTACTTTTAGGAAAGAACTTGCATATATGAATTGTCTTTCTCTGTTACCTTGGATCATTCTGAAGATACTAGTTACTGATTCATTTTTTTTGAGACAGGGTCTCTCTGTGTCCCCAAGTCAAGCCTTGAACTGACTTTGCAGTCCAGGTTGGCCTCAGACATGCACAGTCCCTCTCTCTTAGCCTCCTGGGTGCTGGGATTACAGGCAGGCACTGCCTCACTCAGCTTTAAGGTGTGATTTTTTAAAAATATTTTTGTGTGCCTGATACCACAACTTTAGGAATGCAATAAGGATGTTGCTCACTTGGAACGCTGTCAAGTGTTGTTTCAGCTTTACTTACACGGCATTGGACGAAGTCTCGTTTTGACTTTGCCCTGTGTGTCAGAAATCACACACTGTATTGTTCAACTAACAGCTAATGCTTGATTAAATGGAGTGTGAGGTTTATTTTCATGTAGAGCCCTGTGTCTTATCAGGGAAGGGTTGCTCCATGACTTTATTACAAATTTTTATCTTTCCCTGTGCTGTAACCAAAAAACCTAATCAGCTCACTTGCTTATAGTCATTCTTTGTACAGAGATAACCTCTGCCAAAACAAAGCCTTCTTTCTTCCCTTTAGCATTTGTAACTAACCAGGGACTGCCCTCCTTGATTTATCTTAGTCAAGTTACCTTTTCTGTTTTGCACAGTATCTCCGTGTGGCTTCAAGGTAGTTTACATTGCATGACCACAAGGGTTTAGGTGTGTGCTTTCTACTCTGTGGCTACAGGTTTTTTTGGTTTTGTTTGGTTTGGTTTTTTGTTTTTGTTTTTGTTTTTTGTTTGTTTGTTTGTTTTTGTTTTTGTTTTGTTTTGTTTTGTTTGCTATAATGGAAATGTATTGGGGATAAGCATAGCCAAAGCCAAACTGTTCTGCTCCATGGTGTATCCTTGGGCTTTGCATGTCTGCCAGTTATACACTGAAGAGGGTTAAATGAATCTTAAAGTGTTCATTGATTACTATTAAATATCATTATAAGCAAATTGTTTGGGGGACCAAAAATAGTGATATGTATTAAAAAATCTTTAAAATATCTTTAAAATGGAAATAACTTTTTTTTCCAGCTGACTGTATTCACAACCTTGATTGATGTTGCCAAAGATCACTTTGAAAGTTACCTGCGGGACTGCCCAGACCCTTGTATAGGCTGGTGAGCACACATCAGCAAGCCTGTATGACATGCCGAGACCTGAAGTCTGATCTCCTTCCAGAGGCTAAGACTCAAGGCCTGTTGTCTGTTAGTCATGAGATTGTCCTCAGTGTGTTTACAGTTTAGAGACTGTTTTTGTTATCATTACTTCAATTTACAGGTAAATTCTTCAAGGAATGCAATGTCATGTAGAATTTGCCAGTTCATTTCACTTTGACGTTGGGGAAGGGTAACCCTGACCTCTATGGAATACATCAATGTTCTTTGCTGGTATTTAATCCAGTGTCCTGTGTGATTAATGCAAAAGTTCATTCACCTTTTTAAAATCTACATATTTATGTTTCTCTGTACACCAGTATTTTTCTCCTGGTTCTCTCTTAGATTCAGCATGTCATTCACCTTCACTGTTAGTGACAGCAATGCAATATCGCTGTGCTTGGCTGGAGTTTGTGAGATGACATTTGATGCTTATTTTAATGGGCAATAAATAGACCTCTGAGTCCAGAAATAGCATTTTGGAGGGTTAAAAATAATGATCATATAACATGTTTTTTTTAAAAAAAAGTATTCTCATTTTCCTAATTATTCTACCTGCTAGTAACCCCAGGAAGTTGCTAGCTTTAGAAACTTGAGTTCAAGAACTCAGCACAAACTCGTTATTTTAAACTCTTGTATGTATAATCAATTTAATAAGTTTTTTCATTATCCCTTCTAACCAACATATTTTTTAGCTTTTCATACAATACAGTTATTAACAATATTTTTCAGAAATCAATATTTATGAAAATACTAACAGAATTTATTCATCTTTCTAACTTTTACAATTGACAGTGAAATGTATTTTATGGCAGACTGTATCCATTTAGTTATGTACAATCTCAGGTGTATCATGCTCAATAAACAGTCACTGTCAGTCATGTCAGCACTCATGCATGCTGACTGGGTGTGTGCCTGTGTTGGTTTGAGGGTGGGGGTTATTATCAAGAGATACAAGCTGAACATAATATCTAGATTAAACAACAAGGGTTATGCAAGTAGGTTACTAAACATATGACTTAAATGGTCACAGTTCGTCATGACTAATACTTACTTCTTAACCCAGTAATGTCGACCCAATTTTCAGGTATGCAAAGGCAACTTTTACTCTGGAGACTGCACACAGTTGCTTCTGCAGTGCCAGCAGGTCCAAGATTGTTTTACAGAAGGAACGGGAATTCACTAGAGGATTGGTATTAAAGTAAGATTCTGAGGGCTGGCATGGTGGTTTGTGACTGTACTCTCAAGTTGAGAGGTTTTTGAGATCATTAGAAGAATGATCTGAAATCAGACCTGTCCCAAGGGGTACATGGGACAGTTTCCAAAACCCAAAATAATTAAAAATAGATTGATTCAGTTAATGGGAAAAAAAAAAAAGCTTCCAGTTTTGATCCTCTCATGAATGTAATGAGGTAGAGCTGATCCATTTGATGCTGTGCGGTAGACCTTGATAGCATATGTAACACACATAGCATAGTATGGCTACGCACTGCCTGTTCAGCAGTAAGTCAGTGACATGGAATACTGTCTTAAAATTTAGGTAGCAGAGTTAGTGGCAAAGCACTTTGTAGACAGTGTATGTAACCCAGCTATGTCTAGAGGGGCTTACACAACTGTAGAATTAGACTAGAAAGCAATGACTAGGAGGATGTTAACCAATAGGTTGACAGTTACTTTTCCTGGTTAATGGTAAGGGATAATACAACTCAGGTTGGATCCAAAACGGAAAATAACTTACCTGTTTAGTATTTGTTTTTTGGTTTTTTTTTTTTTTTTGAAGCCCTGGCTAGGCTCAAATTTCTGATTGTCCTGCCTCAGTGTCCAGAGTGCAGAGACTCAGGCATGAGCCATCAAACTCGGTTTAAACAGTTCGACTTGAAATGGAGTTTCACATTTACCTAATAGTCATCGGGCGCTAGGTTCAGTCCCTAATACCACAAAAAATATTAAGAGGCTAGAGAGAGAATTTAGTGATTAAGCACACTTGTTGCTCCTGCAGAGAACCCAGGTTTATGACCCAGCACCCAAACTGTGGCTTGCAACTGTAACTCTGATTTTAGGGGATCCAACATTCTGTTCTGGCTTTCACCAGTATAGCGCACTCGTGTAGTGCATAGACATACACATGTAGATTGAAAATACATACAAGTGGTATCTTCCTGAAAATAAAATAGAGCTGTAGGATGGCTCACCTTGGTAACAGGTACCACGTACCCAGAACTGTGTACCAGGCTTTGTAACAGAAGCAGCTTCACATGCAGCAGCTTGTTTTCTCAACAAACCCGTTACCCTTGAAGGCCTACTTGACAGTGATAAAAGTAAGGTTGAATTGTTCAGTTACATTAACAAAAGGGATTAGGGCTGGGATTTGAGCCAGACATGTCCAGTTCTTGGGCTTTTATCATGACTCTGTATTTCATAACTACAAGTAGCACAATAAGCAGGCCTGATATGGGAGGCTTCTACTTGAGCCCTTCTGTCTCAAGTCACCAGGCTGAGTGTGCCATTACTTTGGTCGTGCCATCTGCTGGTTCTTCATGAAACTCTTTGCTTCCATAGGGATCAGAAACCTTTTGAGATCAGAAGCTGCTGATAATGTGTTGTCTAAGAGAACACATGATTTTTACTTCTACAAACTCAGATGTGCTGAGTTTCGGGGATTCTGAATTCGAGAATTCTTTCTGTGACTGACACAGATCTACATTAAAAACACCAAGTTTCTTTCTTTCCTTCCTTCCTTCCTTTGGATTTTTCGAGATATTTCTTTGTGTAGCCTTGGCTGTCCTGGAACTCACTCAGTTAGAGCAGGCTGGCCTCGAACTCAGAGATTCACATGCCCCTGTCTCCCAGGTACTGGGATTGAACATATTTGACACCACTGCCTCGAAAGTTCAGGTTTTTTAAGTCACTGAATTGCAAAGCCCAGGCATTTGTTACTATGGTAACAGAGTAGTGAGTCCTTGTTAGCTAGTGTAAATTTAATTACACTCACCGTCTTAAAATTGTAGAGGGTGGATGTGGCCAGCAAATCCTCATTCTGTGCACTGGCCCAACCAGCAAGCTAGAGGTGTGGCTGGCCCTGAGCTTTCAACACAGCAACTTGTCAGCCTTTGGGGATGTCCTCCCTCTTGGATTGGGAAAGCAGGGTTTCCTAGCCAGTTGCCACAGAGCAGACTGGTTTGCTTGGGCAATTTTCCATGGCATTTCTACGTACCATGTGAAAATTTTAATCAGACTCTCTGTCAGGATTTGCTTTGAATATAAAGATATATTTTTTAATATATCTTTGAATATAAAAATTATATATTTACGTTGCCCTCTACAGGGCAAGTCAGACAAATGGCTAGAATAGTTCATGTATTTCTGGTAGTTTCCTAAGCTTGAGATGCCAGTTAGGATGCAAGACCATGTGGACTAGGGCATTCACTTGGCCCATCCATTACCTCCTTAGGGGACTTGGGAAGCAGGGCAGGTGTAACAGATGCAGACTCACAGCTTATACTTCCTAGTATGACCAAAGGTCCTTACCAGGAGCACCACTGACCATCAGGCTATGTAGCAGGCCAGATGGTAGCTTGAAAGCAAGGTCAGATCTTAGACCATTCATGGTTCTTGTGACCTCATGTTGCACCTGTGCTACAGATGTTCCCCGAGAGGCTGATCACTGAGCCATTTAGAGCTGCTGGGCTGGAATCCTGGTATGTAAGCCCCTGGGACAGCTGTCTGAGGTTTCTTCTTTTTTTTTTTAATTTATTTATTATGTATACAATGTTCTATCTGCATGTACACCTGCACGCCAGAAGACACCAGATCTTATTATAGATGGTTGTGAGACACCATGTGGGTGCTGGGAATTGAACTCAGGACCTCTGGAAGAGCAGATAGTGCTCTTAACCTCTGAGCCATCTCTCCAGCCCCCTCCTTTAAAGGTAGGTCAAAGTCAGTGATGTATGTTATATTTCTTCACGGTCTCAGCAAACTAGGGTAAAGAGTGGCATTCAGGACATGAAGCAAACTGATGTAAATCACTTGCCCTGTTAATCAAAGGGGTCTGAGCCAACTAGGTTGTTTGTTTTGTTTTGTAAGATTTATTCATTTGTTTTATGTATGTGAGTATCCTGTTTTCATGTACACCAGAAGAGGGCATTGGATCATATTACAGATGGTTGTTAGCCATTATGTGGTTGCTGGGAATTGAACTCAGGACCTCTGGAAGAGCAGCCAGTGCTCTTAACCGCTGAGCCATGTCTCCAGCCCTGCCAACTAGGTTTTTATGTAGTGGAAATCTATATAAATGTATCTAGCTTTTAGCCATAACTCCTTTTGTTTTGTTTTGTTTTGTTTTCCTGAGGACCTCAATCTGCCTTAATGGTCCTGGTTCTTACTGGTAAAGTCACACCTGAAGCTGTTGCTTCCCTAGAAAGTTTGAGCAAGACCAAGCAGGGTTTTGAAATCTGGCTTTCTGCAAATGGCACCAATATCTAGGTGACAAGAGTCCTATGGAGCACTTAGAAGAGTTTAAGATTCCAGGTACCATCAGGCTTAGCACACAGAACTTTTGAGAAATAAGTGGGTCAGAGATGCACAGGTATTAGATTCTGGTAGATTCAGTAGACCACAACTACAGCCTTTACAGCTGACATGGAGCCATCCAATCTCGTGGCCCAGACTATTCCAAAAAAGGCATAACTATGGGTAATTGACAAGAATTTAAGTGGTTTCACTTATCAATGAAAGAAAAGCCACTGGTTATCTTTTGTGTTCTTAGCTTCTGAAACATTCTTGAATGATTATAAAATATTGCCTTAAATTTATCACATAGGTTTGAGTGTAGCTCAATGGTGAGGCCTTGGGTTCAACCTCTGGCATCAAAAGATAAAGTTTTAAAATTTTATTACTACTCAACACCAAAAGATGGTTGAGTGACTGAGTACAACTGGTAGAGGAAGACAGTGACTCCCATGAAGTGGTCATGTGATGCCAAATATTAAATACTGCCATCTGGTTATGCTTTTGAATTCAGTGCCTAAAAAAATTAGGTCAGGTTTGACAGCACGTGTCTATAATGCCAGTACTTGGGAAGATCAGGAGTTCAAGGGCATCCTCAGCTACATTGCTAGTTTGAGGCCAGCCTGAGCTACGTTGAGACCTAATCTCAAAAACAAAAGAAACCGAAGATGTCAATAAGACTTTGTCAAGAATTGTGAGTTGCAATTTCAGGCATAAACTATGCTGACAGAATGATTGGAAAGTCTGTAATTTTTTTCACTATGTTCCCTCCAGTTTACCTCAGCATGTGCTATAAACACTATTACTTTACATTTATTTAATATGCATGGGCATTGCTATTTCATATGTGGTGGTCGGAGTATAACTTTGTGGAGCAGCGCACATACACTTTATTTTTGTATGCATAGTATAGCATGCATACAGCCAGGGCTACACAGAGAAATACTGTCTTGAAAAACTTAAAAGAAAAAAAAATTTTTTTTGGAGACGGTTTTTCTGTGTAGTCTTGGCTGTCCTGGACTCGCTTTGTAGACCAGGCTGGCCTTGAATTCCGCCTACTTTGCCTTCCTGAGTGCTGAGATTACAGGCATGCACTACCACAACTGGCTAGGTCTTCTATTCTTAAAATAATAATAAAAATTAATAATAAAGAATTGCCTTGAGGTTTTTGTCTTCTGGTCTATACATATTGAGAGTCACATCAGTGGGTTATTTAGTGTTAGTCTAACGCAGATAGATGGGATAAATCCAATAAAATTCATTCTGTTAAATGAGTAAACCTGGACTATTATTTCTCTTCTACATATTGTTTCTAGGTGGCCATGATATCTGGGTATCATACTGACAGAATTGAAAAACACTCCCATTTTCGTTCAATTTTAATTATCTTTATTAATGTCTAACCCCTCCTCTTCCCTTCAGGCTTTTCTCTCCTTTTGCAGAGCTAGTAATGATCACAGGACTTTGTCCATGCTAGCAGCTCCACCCTTGAAATACATGCCCAACCCCTTCCATTCTCTTTAGTAGTTAAGCTTACTTGCTATCTTTTTATCTTACAGTTTAGGACATTGTTACCAGTCATTAGCACAGTGGTAAGGCCAGTGGTCAGTTCTCAACCTTTACTAGTTCATTTGATTCTTGACATGCTGTCTACCTGCTGTTTTCCCTAAGTGGCTACTTATGAATCAAAGTTGTTCTGAAATTGTGAAGAGCACATCATGTGCGCAGATAAAAGTATCGGTAAAATCCATCCACTTTTTCTAGTGACTTTTTTCTGTCATTACCCTTTTGAACTTAATCTTATTCTAGATTTGAATTTTGGATGTATGTGTGTACCCAAGTTTATGTGTACCAAGTGCATCTTACTGCACACAGAGTAGAAGAGGGCATCAGATTCCTAGAGTTGGAGTTGCAGGTTGTGAGCTGTTCAGTGAGTGCTAGGAGCTGAACCCTAACCCTGTTCAAGAGAGGAGGCCCTGCTAATTGCTGTTCCATTCTAGCCCTTATTCCTATTTTAAGAATAATTTCAACATACTTTCTACAGAGAGATAGATTTTTAGATAGATCTACAGAGAGAGCCACTGAAAATTAGCTGAAGAGGTACTGATGGCTAATAGAATATTCATAGCATTTTAAACATACACCTTTATATATTTTGCCTAGAAACAGACTTTATGGGGCTTGACAAATTGTGGATATCCTATTTAACCCTTGCTGCAAAAACATACAATGTCACTAGGAAGCTGATGCAAGATGTGTATTACATTATACTATCCCAACACTTAAAAACCTAGAAACTACCCATCTGGGAAATGTCTAATAAGACAGCATTAAATATATATTTCTTGTGCCACTGACATGGCTCTTGGGTAAAGGTGCTTATGGCCAAAGCTGAAGACCTGAATTCAGTCCTTGGGATCCACATGATGGAAAGAAAGAACAGACTCTGCCCTCTGACCTTCCCACATGTCAACCATAGTACACATGCATCCCTCCACATAAATAAATTTAACAATTTAATGTGTATGCTATATAAACATAAGAATTTAATGTGTGCATTTTTAAAAACAGGCTGATATTTTTATTTACTATTTTGGTAATACTGCAGCCTAGTTCCTGAGCACCCATTTAATCAGTACATCTTCTGCAGTGTCCTACTCAATCAAATTACTTCAGTAATAGGAAAACAATGAGAATTAAGAGTCTACTGACCTTAAGGTCAGAGTTGTCATTAATGTCAGAAACAGGTATGTAAAAGAGAATTCCAGTTGCTTTGACAAGCTGACATAAGATTGTATTACGCTGCCTCAAGCTGAAAGTGAGTTATTAGGAATAAATGGTAGGTGAGTTTACAAAAACACCCTCTTCCAGAACAAATCTGAAAAGATATACTTTCTCTTAAGTCCACAAAGACTTTACTGCATCATTCATATTCTCTTAGACATTTTCAAGCTATGGAAGATAAGATTCAATCTCAAAAATATCTATATTCTATATGTATCAAAGGTATTTATTTAAAAAAATCAACGCAAGTAAGAAATAATGAAGCATGTGCTCTTTACAAGAAAAATATTCTCCAGTGACACCTTCAATATTTAGTGTATCATTATTCACGGTCTGATTTTTTTTAACATTAAAAACTGCCAAATAAGACACAATTCTGGAATATACTAAAGTACCATGAATATGTCAATTTAAATAAAAATGCAATTCAGAGTTATATGTAGGATATACATTTATTAGCAGTGAAAAACCATTTACCTAAAGTAAATGTTACAAAATACAGAGTACCTCCACAGTCTGAGTAGTTCATTATTGTAGCATCTCTAACTACATAGTTGTATTTTTTTCTATCACTAACCAAAGTTTTAACTTACAAATTGAGACAAACAGGAATACTTAATTTACTTTTGAGTAATACTTACTAGAAAAAAACCCATATTACACACATTATCTGTTCTCAATCTCTAGGTATTTTAAAACTAAATTATCTACTAAAATATAAAACAACAGACTAGATAGCACATATAAGTCAAATAAACTAGTTTGATAAAGTTCATAGGTACATGGTAATAGCTAACATTACATACACTTCTTCCATTGTATGCATGCAAAGAAAGAAAGGGCAAGGGAGGGAGAATGCACTGCAATATGTAAAGCTTGGCTTGGGGATTAAAATGAAGTTTCTTGCTTTGAGTCTGGAAAGTACATTACTTGTTTGTACATATAATATAAATTATTGTTCTAATGTCCCTGAAGTCAGTCCAAGTGGGTAAGAATGCTTGATTCTGGATTGGTAATTTTCCAAATAAATTTTAATGGAGTTCAAGATATATGTTCTTTATTTAAATTAAGTAACAACACAATAAAAGTCCTCAGAGGGAAATCACTTGTTATTCCATAACTGGGCATTTATATTAAGATACCAAGCACATGAGAATTTCATCTATTTATTTAGTTATTTGTTTGTTTATTTGGTTTTTCTTGAGGCAGGGTTTCTCTGTGTAGCCCTGGCTGTCCTCAAACTCACAGATCCACCTGCCTCTTCCTCCTGAGCACTGGGATTAAAGGCATGCATCACCACTGCCCAGCTGCAAGTGAGAATTTTAAAAGAATACCAAACAAGTTCTTCTAGGGTATTTTAGACAACTATTTAAAATTTTAAGTGAATACTTGGAATTTACAACTAGTCCTTCTCACTATTACTTTTTCAGGTAAAATTTTTTTAAGACTGACATTCATGGTTATCTGGCTCTGAGATAATACCAAATCAGGGAGGTGGTAAGTATAGACGGACTCAGAAGGCAAAACACTTTAAAAACTAGTTTACTTGGTAATAAAGAACTCAGAGACTTTCTTAACACTTGAACTTGGTTCGCTCACACACAACACACAAAAATCAACTGTTAGGCTTTGGTTCTAAATTATCATCTCAAAAGGCATGTTTGTCGATAGGACTGAAAATCTTAATGTTCTCTTACATAAATTTAGTTATATTTATCCTACTTGAGTTTTTTTAATTTTAAATTTTTTGAATGCTAGTTGTCTATATAGAAACACTTCCTACATTTATATAAAGCTTGTTTTTAATTTTTAGAGTGAGGCGACTTAAGATTTTCAACTCTGGAAAATATTAATCTAATAGATAATTTTGTTAGGTTCTATGTACTAAAACATCTCAACTGTACACAATCTGGGTTACTGACATGTTTGAAGACCACTGCACAGATTCTTGGTTACCTTTATAACTGACTTTGTTCTTATCCTGGACCAGGAGCTCACTACAGAGCATCAGACCCAATAGCAGCAACACCACGTTACTGGAAGGCTAGTCTTAAGACAGGGCTTTAGAATAAATAATGTATTTCTCTATTCTTGACCACTGCTGTCTCTGAATAGTGTTAGGTTACATAAAACAGCAACTTGCTGCAGAGAATTCAACAAAATTTCCCAAAAGCATACTTTACAGATAAGTTCAAACTTTATTTAAAACTACATTTTAAAGTTAACATACCAAACATTACAATGAAGGGTGGGAGTCAAGACCATAAGAAAAACAATAATAAAAGAAAAAGAAAAATCCCATAGTGTGTCAAAGTTTGAATCTGTCCAGGATTCAGATTCTGATGTTTAAACTGCCATGGGCAGAAACTAGCACAACCATCAAAAATGCAGTGTCAAACTAATTTACATTTTATACAGATCAAAACAAATGTTTATTTAGTGTCTTTTTTTCCCCCTAAATATATGTACTGACTATGTAAGAGAGTTAGATGAATCGCTGAAGACATTTCATATACTCTGGGCTCCCACTGTTTCTGAAAAGAAGAATAATGGTTAGTGTTTTAATATCTTCTAAAATTTACTTTTAAAATTTTCTTCCATAAAAGTTCTTACTTTACATACAAGATCACAATTTAAAAAATGTGAGTTTAGTTCAAATTTCCTGGTAAAAAACACAGAATGAGGATTTGTTTCTCATGATGGAAGATAGAGATAAAAATTTCTCTCTAAAAAACTCCACTAGAAGAAAACGAAAATAACTATAAAAATGATTAAATGCAGACAAAAGAAAAGTGGCTAGGAAAAACAAACAAACAAACAACAGAAGAGATACCAACAATTTCCTTGAATGCCCTAAGTACATGAGGTTGTACAAACAGAGAGCAGCAGCTTAGCATACTAGGACTGACTGAAGCTGCTAAGGATGACATATACTCAAATGGGCAAAACTGAGCTGAATGGTAAGGCTTTGATCTAATATTCTGATCATCACTCCAGTTCCAGAAAAACAAGAAAAAAAAATTACATGATTTTTAACTACTGATAGAGAGTAACAAAAAGAAACTTTGATATTGATAGAGGAAATACTCAGAGCATATATACACACATGTATATTTGGGAAACAAGTATAAGGCCTAACTATTAGAATTATAAAAACAGTATATGTGCTTATCTGAATAAAAATTCATAATGTAAGAATAGGAGGTTTTTTGTTTTTTTTTTTTTACTTTCTACAACAACAAAAAACGTTAAAAGATACTTATAATAATAAAGGTAAAACCCCCAAAATAATGTGAACAATGACAGGAGGGGAAAATGGATCTCAATATATACATCTTAACAGGGGCGGTAAAAGACATTATGTGAATTTTAAGCATTAAGAAATCATAAAACATCAGTGTTAGCATTGCATCTAGTACTTTATTAAAACTAAAGGTTTTAAAAATGGAAAACATAATCTGACACAATTTGAAAAGACTAAAACAGCTGAACTAATTGACAGAACGACTCCTTTTCCAATAGTAGGCTTAGATTTTCTAGAAGTAATAGTACATTTTCAGAACCAAACTAAGCTGGTAGGATCATGATTTTTCAATTCAAAATTAAAATTAGTAACTTTTACCAGGTTCTTTCAGTATCTGAGAATTGCCAGCTAATTCTTCAGTCTGCATTTCACAAATTTCACCAGATAAATGGTTTTTCTGTTCTTCTTCTACCATTTTCTTCCTCAGCTCTGCCTTTAGAATGAAAATTAAAAATATAATCTTTCATCTCAATAAGTTATAAAGGCAAGCTTAGTTGAAGAGAGCTGGATACCTCTGAATAGACTGTCAGTTTGAGTGGCAAATCCTCAACTTTCACAAAGTCTTCTTCATCAGACTTTTGACTTATGTTACCAGATTCTGCTTCCTGTAAGATAAGTAATACTTAATGAAAAATAAAAAAATTAAAGAGCACATCATTTACCTCTGTATCAAAATCTGAATCACTTGTTCCAAGAATTAAAGTGAATTCTTATATTCATATATATGACTAATTAAAAAATGTATAGTTCATAGAACAGGATACATAGCTATAGCTGTGAGCATACTGTTGGGTTTTTTTTGTTCTCCACTGAGAAACATGTTTACAAAGGCTGAATGAATAAATGATAGTAATTATAACTGGGAGCTAAATAACTAAGCAACAATTATTTCTCCCCACGCCCCCTCTGTCTTTTGTGATACTAGGGTTGTAACCAGGGTCTTGTATATGCTTGGCAAGAGCTCTTTTACTGAGCTACCTCAATAACCCTTACTGTTTATGTTCAGAGAATATATCAGAATTGTATTCAAAAATATAATCATTTCAACTTACTATGTTTGTTAAAGCTCATATAGAAATACTAGCAATAAATTTAGTAATTTACCTTTGTAACCACCTCAATTTTTTTTCTTAAACTTGAATTTTCTTTCCCTAATTATCCCTTGCAATTTTAAAAGTATTATGTTTCTATCAGCTACTCAAATAGAAATGAACCTGAGGTTGTTCTTTCTCTTTTGCACCATTATTACCATTCATACTCTTTTTAAGGTGCGTATCTTCCTTTGATAACATCTTTTTTTAATTTTTGGAAATTTTTTATGTATATGAATGTCTGTATGAGAGTGTTGGATGTCCTGGAACTAGAGTTAAAGATAGTTGTGGGCTGCCATGTGGATGCTGAGAACTAAACCCAGATCTTTTAGAAGTACAGCCAGTGCTCTAACTACTGAGCCATCTATCCAGGCCCCAGACATCTCTTATACAGTCATTACTCTTCAGAGATCACAGCACTGATCATTTCACTGTTTTGTGAAAAAATTTCAGAATGGATCTTTACCTAAAAATCAAACTAAAAAATAAAACCAAAAAAACCCTGTAACTTAATCCTGAGGTATTATCGATAGAATATTTCCTATTTTGTACTCATCAAATGATAGTAAGGCAAGCTGGGCGTAGAAGCACATGACTTTAATCCCAGCATTCAGGAGGCAAATAAAAGAAACAGAGATCAGAGTTTGAGGTCATTTTTCTCTATATAGCAAGCTCCAGCTAGCAGGAATATACAGACAGACCATGTCTCTCAAAGACAAACAAGAAAGAATAAATTTGGTAGGGGCTGGCAAGATAGTTCAGCTGGTTAAGGCATCTTCTGCCAAGCCTGAGTTCAACTCCCCAGACCCACATTGTGGATGAGAGAACAATTCCTGAAGGCCATCCTCTGACCTTCATGCATGCATGCATGCATATGCATACAACTCTCTCTCAACTAATTAATTAAATATAGTAAGATGTTTGAAAGGGGCTGAAGAATGGCTCAGGGTTTAAGGACATGGGCTGTTCTTTTAGAGGACCCAGGTACCATTCTAAACACCAGCATGGCAGCTCCACAGCCACCTGCAAGTCCAGTTCCAGAAGATCCAATGCCTTTTTTGATTTCTGTGGGCTCTTGAACACACACTGTGCATTCACATACACTCCTACACATACACATAATATAATCATTACAGAAATGTTTGAATATTAAATCAAGTAATTTTTACAGTTAGAAAACAAAACAGCTTAACAGAGGTTTCTATCGATGTTTTTTAAACATTCTAAGTTCACTTTCTAGCTAATATGTAAGTCATAACTATGAAAACATCTTTAATAACCAAACTGATTTTAATTTTCAAAAACTGAACCAAAGACTAGGCCTGTAATCCCAGAACTCAAGCCGAAGAGGCAGGAGGAACACCTGAAGTTCCAGGCTAGTCTGTCTACTGATCAAGTTCCAGATTGGCCCAATCAACAAGGCTCATTCAGAAAACCAAACCAAACAACAACAAAAGGGAGAGATACATTGTACCCATTGAGGTTCAAATACTATGCTACAAATTTTTTTCATTTTTACTAAGAAATTTTATATTAAAAATACACTGCCGAAACATCAAGCTAACCTGTTCTCTATAAAATTTAAATGACATTAAAGTTCAGAGTAAAACTAAACTCACATACTTCCTACAACTGTAATTACATACACTGTTATGCAATTTGCCATATACAATGACTCTGTCAATCAGTTTTCTGTCACACCCCACAATTAAACTTTAGGTATATCAAAGAATTTCAAAATGCCCCAAATAGATCAGAAGTAAAAAAAGGATAGTGTAAACGATTAACTGATTTATCACGTATCATTAACTTCAGGTATGAACATGAACTCTCTTAAAAGTTATCACCCAAAACTAATTTTTTGGTTTCCAAAATTATAAAAACTTTCAGATTTTGAGATGATCATTCGATTTATTATCACTTTACTATGAAAAGTGTGACTAAGAAAGAATAAATGTTCTGACAGGTTCCAAACCTAAGCACAAAGTGGAATTTGATTTATATGTTTAATGTGTTACTCTTAAAAATGAAATATATACAGAAATGAAAAAGCAAAAACATGTGGAAATGTAAACATACATACATAGTCATTCACTAACACTGGAGATTCAGTATCAGGACTGCCAGCCAGAGAGCTCTCGGGAGTTTCCTGAGCAGACTTAACTTCTTTGACTCTAGGCACTAAGGTCTCATTTGCAGTCAAGGCTAATGGCAAAGGATCAGGCTCTTTAGAGGAATCAGCAGTAATGAGTGAGTCCTTATGGATAGCACTATTTAAAGGTTGTTCATTTTCCAAGATATTGAGATAACAAGGTTTCACAGGAGAGCTGTCTTGATCATCTGCCATTAAAACAAAAGTCTCAGCATTAGAGAAATGAAGTATCTGTACAACTTTACTCCAGAACACTAAGGACCATATGTATGAATGAAGAGTAATCACAACATGTAAGAACCAAAACAAAAGATCCCTATCTAGATTTTCCTTATTCATGGTTCCCAAGTTAATCAAACAGATTTAGCTAGGAACATTTTAATTTAAATTCCTGAAGGCCAGCTGATTTGAAATGAATTAGGTTTTTTTTAAGACTAAAGCCCTAGAATGAATAATATTTTTAAATAAACTAAAACAAAACACTCCCCTCTCATTTGTATCTTAAAAAAACTCTGTGGATAAATTTTCTGTACAGATAAGTATTTGTCAAATATATGTAAAGGGAGGGGAAGTTGCTGAAGAGATGGCTTTGCAGTTAAAAACACTTGCTGCCTTTACAAAGGACTATAATTCAGTCTCAGCACCCACATTAAGAAGGTCACAATTGCCTGTTCCAGAAGATCTAGTGCCCTCTTCTGGCCTCTGAGGGCACTACACGCACATGGTACACATGCACATACTTAGATACATATGATTAAAAAAAATTAAAAATAAAAATAATTGCACTGGGCAAGGGTCCCATGCCTTTAACCCCAGAATGCAGAAAGCAGAGGCTGGAAGATTTTTAAAGTTGGAGGCCACTCTGATTTATATAAGCCAGCCACAGCTACAAGTTGAGACTCTGCCTCATAATAAACAAATAAATGGAAAATAAGTGCCAGTTGAAGGCACAATATGGCTGCATGCACCTGCAATTCAATGACTTGAGAGGTAGAGGCAGGAGGTTCTGAAGATCAAGGTTTCCTTCAAACTATATGAGTTCAAGGCCAGCTTGTAATACATAGGCCCTGTTTCAAAAAACCTACCAACAACAAAAATGAATCAATCACCATTCTCTTACTTTTTTTTTTTTTTTTTTTTTTTTTTTTTTTTTTACAAAATATTCACCAGCAGAACAAAGACAGACATCAAGTCCAAAGTGCCTTTACACTTACATTAGCTAAGAATTAAAAACTACTTTTTTAATTTTAAGCACATAAAGAATCTAAAATTTAGGGTATTTAGACTTCTTACTCTTACTAGTTGGTTCTTGGTCTGATGGTATATTTGTGCTTTCTGATGTATTTTCAAGGTCATGTTGCAGAACCTAAAAACAAACAAACAAACAAAATAGTTTTAATAGCAAAACTTTAAAAATATATGGTCCTTATAGAAAAACATAATACTGCACAGTTTTTGTCCAACCTCAGGGCTATAAAATAGCAAATATAACAGTATCTTCTCAAAATGTTTCAAGGAGGCATTAGTTAACAATTAAAAGATGAGTAACTAAAGTAGTTTCTTTCTTAGGCAAGTGCAAAATGATTTAAATGGCTAAAATAAAACAGATCCCACAAGTTTTTACTACTTTTCTCAGGACCTTATCTCAAAATTAAAGAATATCTTTATTTGTAACAAAGTGAAGAGCTTGTTGCAGAGGGAAAAACAGAATCTGAGATTCATCCCAGGAAGGAAGCACCTAATGCTTGGGAGGACTATAATGGCAGGCTACGGGTTAATGATTACAAGGAGTGATGTTGGTGGTAGTTTTGGTCTTTTGTTTGTGTGTGTTTTTTTCTCTGAGACAGTGTTGCTCTGTGTAGCCTTAGCTGTCTTGGACTAGCTTTATAAAAACCAGGCTGGCCTTGTACTCACAGAGATCCAACTGCCTCTGCCTCCCTGAGTGCTGGGATCACAGTCATGAGCCACCGCACCCAGCTTCTAGTTTTAGTCTTTTAAGAAGTGTCAACTTCTAGTTTTTATATTCAACCTCACAAAAAATGAAAGATTACATTTTAGAGAACTGAATTATCATCACAGAAAGGGTGGGAGGTAGATTACATTTTAGAAAACTGAATTAGCTTCATACAGAGGGAGGTAGAATAAAAAATGCATAAATAAGCAAATGGTAAAAAAAAAATCATACTGAAAATAAGAGTTTAGTGTAAATCTACATAATTATGGAATACTTAGCCATCCATTTAGCTAAAGAATACCAGCAACAAAACTTCTAGGAACCAGGGTGGAGAATGGAGAACATTTTTTGAAGAAACCACTCCAAAGAAATTACCAACACAATATCTATCAGAAAGGGAGCTGTCTATAAAAATGCCTTATGAGAAATTCTAAAGAACCAAGCCATTTTTATTTCAAAATAGTGTATGTGAGTTGTGTATCTCACACATAGAAAGTGTATGTACATATCACATATAGATATTATATCTAAATATACTATATATATTATTAAAGGTTCAGCAGATAGGTATCTAAAAGCTTTCAGGAAGAGAATACATGATGCTACCAAAAAAAATAATAATCAGAGAAAATGTTAAAGGTATTAGACACAGTAAATAGGAAAATTGAAGTAAGACAAGCATTAAGACCTGGGGTGTATTCCAGAAAGTAAAGCAAAATGATAAAGTAACAGTGAGGAAAAATGAGGTGATCAACCAGGTGCTAACAGTATCTTACAATACATAATTTCCACAGGAAAAAGAGAAAATGGTAGCAAATGAAGAAAATTTAGCAGATATAAGAAAAGACTATAAACAACAACAAAACTAAATAAATACTCAGCCAAACCGAAAAGTAATCAACAAAACTGGAAAATTCCAAATTTTGGGGGGGCGGATATGTGGAAAGCTTTTAGTGTGGGCAATAGGACAAAGGTACACACAAAGGATTAAAATGAAGAGATCACAAGACATTTGTAAGACAGCACTGTAACCAGGACGATGAAGCAGTATGATCAATATCAAAAGAAAATATCTTCAATACTCAAGATCGTATTTCTGACATGTAATGTCTAAAAAATATTAACCTTTTATGCATTCTTTCTCGGTTAATAGAAGATATATTACCCCTGATGTGAGGCACAAACCACAAATGAAAAAGACAAAGGACTAGATTCCAAAAACAGAGGCCTGATGAAGATAATGGAAGAAAAGGCATTCTTAGGTTGGTAACTACTCAAAGTCTAAAGAATAGGCAAATTTAGAATGTAGCAGAAAGGGATAATACTTAAGAAGGGGAAAAGGGAAGGAAAAAATCATTTAGTTCATGTACGAATTTCTGTGGAGAGGCTTATGTAGATAGCTACTACAGGGTAGGATAGAATACTAGGTTATGTACATGTTCAAAGAATATTTGAAATATACTGTACAATTGAGTACAATTACTTATCAAGTACAAGATTTACAAGGACTACAAGTAACAATATTTACTTGGTTCAGCAGCTGGAAGTATTTACATAGTTTGGCTAAGTCTAAAAATGAAACATATTTAACCAAAACACAGGGAGCCAGGCATGTGTGCGCGCACACGTCTGCATGCACACATGCACACACAGGCTCACTCACAAACTTTCTTCTGCTGAAGTAAACAGCAACTGTAGCAGGTGTAGCCTCTGGGGCTAGATCACATAAAGTAGGGAAAAAAAAGATTTCATGTATTTTAATTTGTGACTAGGAGAAAACTTTAATTAAAAATTCAGATCTTTAAAGTATCTTATAGTTTGGTAACTTGTTCCAAAAAGATAAAGTGTTTTAAAGATTACTGAATAAAAAATAAAACCAGTGCTTCAATGTTTTTTTTTTTTTTTTGCTTTTGAGACAGGGTCTGCCTAGCCTTATCTAACCACTTCTGCTCCCAGAGTGCTGGGACTAAAGACATGTGTCACATGCCTGGAATGTTTCAAATCTAAATATATTTTTTAATAAACACTTTTTATTCATGAAGATAACATGAATAACAGAAGGCTCTTGCTTTCAGCAATTAAAATAGGCCTGGTGGAAGGCATACTGGTTTGTAACATAATACCTGACTGTCGTGTTCATTTTCTTCTGTAGTTTCAGTGTTAGCCTGAAGTGAAGTCTGGACATCCACAGGACTCTCTTCAAAGTCTTCCATTTCTTCATCCTCATTCTCATCTTCTCCACTTCCATAATTAGTTAAAGCCTGACTTTCTGCTTTAGATAGATCTAAGTTGATTACACACAAATTTTAGTCAGCTCACAAATTAATCTTCAGGATGGTGTGTGTGTGTGTGTATGTGTGTGTAGATGAGTCTCACTGTGTTGCTGGCACTAACTCCTGGACTTAAATTACCCTACTACCTCAGTCTCCTACTGTCGTACATCACCACATCTACCCATTAATCTTAGTAATGGTTACCGTCTATTACTGAGTGGCACAGGTACTTTATATACTATATCTGAAGTATTCAAATCAGCACTTTCTGGAAACTGTGGTGTGGAATGGTAAGGTAATTTAATCAGGTCACAGTGATCATTCAGTCAAATTGATACTAGGATTCAAACCCAGGGTTTGACACAATATTCTCTGCACTCCTACAAATTCTAAATGACCTATAGAAAATGTATGTATTTGTCTCAAAGCCTTTAAACTTACTAATAGACACTGGACACCTTTCACTTTCTTCATCTTCCTCTTGATCAGAAACATCAGATCTTACATTTTTGGGAACTTTGGCATCATATACCTCTGAAGCCTGAGTCTGCTTAACAATTTCAGTCTCATCCTTGTCCTGTAAAGCAATATAAATAATTAACTTCTCAGAGTACTTAAAAAGGTATACATGGTAGAACTTTCATAGCAATAACAGTCTCTCTGTGTAATATAATAACTTATGACATTCTAGTTTGTCTTAAATGAAAAAACATGGTTTGTCAGAAGAAAGAACATTTAACTACATACTTTAATTGTAAAAAAAAAAAACAATAAAAGCTTAAAAATTGTTTTGTTCTAAAAGCATTATTTATAGACACAAATTAGCACATACTTTATCTTCATCATCAATTTCTCCAGCAGGTGAGCCATGATCTCCTTCAAGAATCCTTTTGGCCTAATGGCAAATCAATTAAGAAGAATTCATCAAGAATACTTTTGTAATTTGTAATAGTTTTTCTAATCTCAATAAATAAACCAGTAAGTCAGATACCTGTCATTAATCACATCTAAATCACTGAAGTTACTGATTCGACTGTGAAAATAATTTTTGATGCACACCAATCTAAGACCTTGGCATATCATTTCCTTTTTAAAATTTATTATTTCTCAGTTTTACACATATGTAGTTTATCACATTCCCCTCATTATCCTCTTAATGTATGTCTTTCCAAAAAAAAAAAAGGCACATGTATACTGTGTGCACCTGTGGAGATCAGAGGAAAGCCTCACATACTAGTCCCTGTCTAACTTGTGATGATCTAATTTTTGTTGTTTGCTGCTGTAGACTTAGACAAGTTGGCTGTCGAGCCTCTGAGGAGTCTCCTGTCTCTACTTCCTATCCTGCTATAGAAGCACTCATACAGATACTGATAGACTGTAACATACTGGTTACAGATACACACAACTATCCCTGTGTTTTGACATGGGTTCTCAGCCTTAATCCAAGTCTACTGCCCACTAAGCCATCTCCCTGGCCCAACTTAACTTTTTTTCTTTTAAAGATTTTTTAAATTTTGTATAAAGGTTTATTTGGAATTTTTTGAGACAGGGTCTCTCGATGTAGTCATGTCCATTCTAGAACTATGTAAACCAGGCTGGCCTTGAACCTGCAGAGGTCCTCCTACCTCTACTCCCCAAGTGCTGGGATTAATGGCATGCATCACTCTACCCAACTGTATGAAAGTTTTGCCTCCATTTATGTATGTATACCACATGCCTGGTGCCTGCGGAGGCCAGAAGAGGATATAAGATCCCCTAGAACTAGACTTATAGGTAGTTTTGAGCCATGTGTGTGCTGGGAACTGAACCCAGGTCTTCTGCAAGATCAGTAAGCACTCTTAACTTCTAACCCACAGCTCTAACTCCCTTATAATTTCTCATCTGGAAAATCACAGCAATCTTATAACTGGTCTTCCCAATTCTATTTCTACTCTACTATAGTCCCCACTTAATGTTATCTAAAACATTATTTTAAACTTTATATGAAATTATGTTATTCTATTTCAGACTTTTCCACAATGTTTAGAATAACATGACCATATAAAGTTTTCTCAAACATCATAACTTGGTCTTTACTATCCCTATGACCTCACTTCCTATACTCTTTTTAACACACCACTTTCTTTGGCATTTCTTGGTTCAGGACCTACATGTATGGCAGGCAAATACCCTATTCCCAACCTGTATCACCAGGTAACATTACCATTCTACTTAGTGTACTTTTGCTATTCTTAAAAGCAAAGTAACAGTTACCTCTTTTGCATAAGACTGTATCACTCCAGCTGCTTCGATTTTCCTTTTACATCTCTGTTTAACAGCTATACTATTATTATCCAAATCTTGCATGAGCTTAAAGAAAGCCAATTCATTAAACAGCACTTCAGATATCTCCACAAGAAGATCTTCTCCACAGTCTTTCAGTTTTCTGCCTGCAAATTTTGCTAATGAATCCTATTTAAAGGTAAAACAAGTAATTTTAGGATCATAGTAAACAACAATTCTGGATAAAACATAGGTGATTTAAAGGGTTAAATTATAATACTTACCTAGGGAAAATCAGTATTCCTAATATTTTATACATGTGTTTACATAGATTTATTTCTGGAGATTTTAATATAATTATTTTTCTTTCTTCCTTTTCCTCCCTCCAAACACTCTCATATATCCCTCCTTGCTCTCTTTCACCTTTTCTTTTCATTAATTATTGTTACATAATGTACGGGGGGCGGGGGTGTACACAAGCTGGAGTCATCAGAGAGGAAGAAACCTCACTTGAAGAAATGCCTCTATGAGATCCAGTTATCAAGCATTTTCTCAATTAATGATCAACAATTGGGGAGGGCCCAGCCCAATAGGGGTGGTACCATCTCTGGGCTGGTGGTCCTCAGTTATGTAAGAAAACAGGCTAAGCAAGCCATGTGAAACAAGATAGTAAGCAGCACTCCTCCGCATCAGTACCTGCCTCCAAGTTCCTGCCCTGTTTGAGTTCACATCCTGACTTCCTTCAATAATGGAGAGCAATATGGAAGTGTAAGCCAAATAAGCCAAATAAACCCTTTTCTCCCCAACTTGCTTGGGTCATGGTGTTTCATTGCAGCAATAGAAATGCTAAATAAGATATATACATAAATGCATATGTAGGTACATATATACACATATGCATAAATACATGTATATATATACACACACACACACATATATATGTATGTACATAAATGTAGAACCTGCTCAAGCTGTATAATATAACTTGTATTTATGGTCTCAGGACTATCCACTTGGTGTTAGTTCTTTGTGTATGGATGAGACCTTCTGGGGTGCCCATATCCACATTAGCATGCCTAGCAGTGTTGTCCTAATTTTTTAAAGCACTAGAAAATTTTAATAGGTTATATAAAGACAGATTACTATATTCTTATTAACAAAGCCGGCATATTGCTAGCCCCACTTAGAGTACACACCTGGAGAGGAATCAAACATACAGTCATCTATAAATACAGTATGTTATTAATACAACCCTTAGGCACAAACAAGCCAAACAGACTACTAATCCCCCTAAAGTTCATATAGAGTACATTTAAAGGCAACCTATGTACTACAGTAATGTCATTAAATACTTTGTGAAGATAAATAGTCCTCCTCATCTACATGGTGCCAATTATTTTTAGTTTACATTAACCAACCAGTCATTTTCATTTAAAATTTTCTTCAGAGTAAGTTTTCAAGTAAGCATTGGTTCTATTCAAGTTGAAATTCAGCATCATCAAATGAACAAATATGCTAGTTTATATAAAGGACTTCCCTTTTTCTTTCTTGTAAAAATATGGGCTAGGTGAACTTATAGAAAAGGTAACTATGACGTTACTCACCCCTCTAAAAGAAAATGACACTGAAGCAGAAAGACACACAGGGTATATACTCACTCATAAGTGGATACTAGACATATAAGATAAACAAAATAAAATCTGTACACCTAAGGAAGCTAATCAGGAAGGAGGACTCTGGCTAAGATGCTTAATCCCCATTCAAAAAGGCAAAGAGGATGGACATCGGAGGAGGGAGAAAACAGGGAACAGGACAGCAGCCTACCACAGAGGGCCTCTGAAAGGCTCTACCCTGCAGGGTATAAAGGCAGATGTTGAGACTCATAGCCAAATTTTGGGCAGAGGACAGGGAATCTTATGAAAGTGGAGATAGTAAGACCTTGAGAGAACAGGAGCTCCACAAGGGACAGCAAAAGATCCTAAAATTCTGGGCACAGGGGTCTTTTCTGAAACTGATACTCCAGCCAAGACCACTCATTGAGATGGCCTGGAACCCCTGCACAGAGGTAGCCAATGGCAGTTCAGTATCGAAGTGGGTTCCATAGTAATGGGAACAGGGACTGTCTCTGACATGAACTGACTGGCCTGCTCTTTGATCACCTCCCCCTGAGGGGGGAGCAGCCTTACCAGGCCATAGAAGAAGACAATGCAGCCACTCCTGATGAGACCTGATAGACTAGAGTCAGAGGGAAGGGGAGGAGGATCTCCCTTTTCAGTGGACTGGAAGAGGGACACGGGTAGGGAAAAGAGAGGGTGGGGTTGAGAGGGGAGGAGGAAGGGTGCTACCCCTGGGATACAAAGTAAATAAACTGTAATTAATAAAAATAAAAATAATTAAATGAAAAAAAGAAAGAAAATGACACAAAAACACTACCTACACAACCACAGGAGGCAAAGGCAGGTGGAGCTGAACTAGTTTCAGGACAGTAAGAGCTATACAGAGAAACCCTGTCTAGAAACAAACAACAAAAAGAGCATGTATGCTAAAAGACTCGAAGCACAAAATTTCTGAACAGCTCTCAGAAGGAAAGAGAGGAAGTAAATACTTTAAAGTTAGAAGCTCACAAAATAAAGTAGAGTTGGAGGGAGCAAAAAGAGAAGGGAGAAGAAAGAAAAGATTCTAGGTAATATATAATTTGTTTAGATTTTGTTCTTCAAAAATTCAACCCTGTGGAAAAAAAATCAGGAAGGAAATAAAAGAAAAGTAGTCAAATTTTCTTAGAAGGGTTGAACAAACATTGATTAAAAATATGAGTTATGCTTAATTTCTCTTTTAACCATATTTAAACATAGCTATTTATTTCTCTTGGAATAAGCTAGCTAGCTAAATTATAGAAATTCCATACCTATAAGTTATTTAACCTAAGTATTTTTACTACTTTAGATATTTACTAAAGATTCTAAAAAAAAAAAAAAAAGAATTCTGTATTTATAATCTTTCTATTTTATGACAAAAGACAGAACAACTTTGAGATTATTACTAAATTTATGCTTTTGTCTTAATACTAACAAAATTGAAAATTATAGTGAAGAAAATTAGCACCTAATCCAGATTTTAAATTAGCCAACAGGCAAAGTGATAGTACTACATTTAAAAGTCAGTTTGAGAGGCAGCTCCACGAGACCAATAAGGCCTGACCAGCAGGAGCATGGTGCTGAAAGGGATCCAGAAGGAACTTGACTAACTTACAGAGAGATCTTTTGCTCCGTATCCTGTGGGCCCTGTGGGTGATGACTAATGACTGTCCTTAACAAGATATTGGTTTTTTGCCTGACCATCCACTTCCCTAAAGATTTCCCCTTTCAAGCCCCAAAAGATGTAAGAACAGAGTTCTTGGATCAACATAAGATGGTACGTGAGGGACCTCATAGCAGCCTGCGCTCTTAATAGCTGAACCATCTCTTCAGCCCCTTCAAACCAATAAAATTTAAACCTTCAAACCACTTTACTTAAAGTGAGATAGGCCTTAGAGATGGCCATGTTAAATGAAAACACAAAAAGTCCTGTTATAATTTTATTAAGATTTTATTTATTTATTTTATGTATATTACTACTCTATCTGTATGTGCACCTACATGCCAGAAGAGGGCTGTGAGCCACCATGTGGTTGCTGTGAATTGAACTCAGGACCTACATCTCTCCAGCCCGTAAAGAGATATATCAAAATGCCATCCAAACTATTAGGATAGATTTTTAAATTAAGTTCTATAATATCAGAAAGTGGTAACAGAGCCCTAACCAAATGGTATATAGGTAACACATACACACAAAAACACATAAACCTCTTACCTGTAATATACTTCCTAGTTGTTTATGAAAGAACTTCACAAATTCCTTGCTCTCATCATTTTGTTGGGTAAGCGTCAAAACCATACGTCTTACTGAAGTGAGAAGTTGAGAAGAACACACCTCATCCATGTGCTCCTAAGAAAAATCCTAGTAGGTTAGGATATAAACTTAGCTATTATTTTAAAAAAAATTAATCTACATAATTTGAAATTAATTTTTCATTTTTCTGATAGAGATTTGAAAGATTCAGTCATTCGTAAGAGTGGCCAATATCTATAGTATACACACTGAAAGGTTTGTGATTTTAACCCACACACCAGGAAAATGACCAATAAAATAAATTTCCTGTTTTAATACTTTTCATCACTCCTTTCTGTACTTAGAATTATGTATGGTGACTCTTCAATTTGTTTATCTTCCTGTTTGTAGTTTAGTTAATTTCAACTACTTTAAAAATCTTACCCATTTTCTGCCCAATTTCCTCTCTATTGTACCTGTGGTGGTTTGAAGAGGAATGGCCCCCAGGACTCAGAGTTGAATGTTTCGTCAGCAGGGAGTAGAACTCTTTGATAGGATTCGAAGGTTTAGGAAGCATAGCCTTGGTGGAGGAAGAGTGTTTCTGTGGATGGGGCTCTGAGTTTTCAAAAGCCCATGCCAGGCCCAATCTCTCTCTGCCTATGAATCAGGTCTCTCAACTACTCCAACAACATGACTGCCATTTCTTCCATGCCTACCATCGTGTTCCCTGTCATAATAATGGACTATCTTTATGAAACTGTAAGCAAGCCTTCAACTAAATAAATGTTTTTTTCTTATGAGTTGCCATGGTGTGCTGTCTTCCCAACAGCTGCTAGTAACTCTTACCAGCAACATTTGCACCCAAACGAACAACTAAAAATATCTCTAGATATTATGAAATATCTTCCTAAATTTTTTTTCAAATGGCACTAGGCAAGTCGCTTTTTAAGTGTACCATAAAAACTTTGTGAAAACAAGTGTGGTGGCATGCCTGTGATTCTGGTACTTTGGAGGGTGAGCCAGGAGGATTGTTAAAAGTTTTAGGACAACCTGGGTTATATACCAAAACTGTCTCAAAAAACCCAAAATTATACGTGACTTATGAAATAAATATGAGCCTGGTCAGCATCTCCAGGTCAGTTTAGAGCAGATCTTTAACAAGTTATCTCAAGGTTCTCATTCTTTTTTTTCTATTTAATTCAGGTTCTGTTACCCTTTCTCCAGGTAACACTAACAAAGAGGTGGCCAAACTAAATGATACCAAGAGTATGAATGGGGGGTCTGAGGGTATGGATGTGTACCACATTTGTTGCTAGTCTCTGAGGCCAGAAGACAGACAGCATCACATCCCCTGGAATTGTACTTGTGAAACAACATATGGGTACACTTAACCACTGAGCTATCTCTCCAAACACAGGTGAACCCTACTAACAAAACACTGCTAGATGTACAGATGCAGACTACACCCAAAACAACAGTGAGTGACATCAATATCCTACTCTGAGCAAAGACAGATCTTTACAAAAAATAGACACATCTGAGTTATATGACATTATAAATTAAGTATGTCTAACACACGTCTATAATGCATTTTTTTAAACCTTACTGGTATTTTGTTTATATACTCTAGTTTCTCATTTTTATGTTTTCTCTCCCACCACAACCCATCCCCCAACGTGTGTGTGTGTATGTGTGTGTGTGTATGTGTGTGTGTGTGTGTGTGTGTGTGTGTGTGTGTGTGTGTGTAAACCTCTTGGGATTTTTCTTTATTGCTTTTTCTGTTTGTTTTGTTCTATTCTAGTTTGTTTGTCTGTTTTCCAAAGAGAGAGAAACAAAGGCATGGAGTGGAGAGGTGTGGAGGCAGGGCAGATCTAGGAGGAGATGTGGGAAGAGAAACAATGATGAGAATATATTGAATAAAAAAAAAAAAAACTAAAAAAAAAAGTAACAGGAAAAAAAATGAGCTTGATGGCAACACATTTTATAGTTTTTCACACCTGGCTATAATGCAAACTATGTTTTCATTTCCAATTATTTAAAAGTCTTTCTTTAGATGAAAAGCTGAGTGGAATTTTAAAATTCTTATTTTTGATGAAAACATAGGGTGCATTTTCAGAAAGAAATTCACCTCTCCAACTGGCCTAGAACTCACTCCTTTATACCAGATTGGCCTCAAACTCAGAGATCTGCCTGTCTATGCCTCCTGAATACTAAAATTGACAACCACATGCAGCCATATTCTATTGACACATTTTTCCCCTCTGTTCATTTTAACAGCACTATTTACAAGTAAGCCTCATATGGTCATTGTTAGTAATTATATAAGCTGGTTTACTTTATAAAATTGTTTACCTTCAAGAAAGGAATGACTTCTTTCATAATTGCTTTAATTTGGCGGTCCAGTTGCTGAGTATCAATTCTAGGACAGGGGACGGCAGAAACATCACTTACAGGTTGTGGTGAACTATGATTCTCAATCATGGGAGTTTCTATTTTTTAAGAAAAATGATATATCAACAAAAGCCAATGACATTATGCACATAGATATAACACATTTATATAACATTTTATAGAATGTTATAAAATGTTTATGTTAAATAATACAACGGAAAAACTACATAGTTTTAGCAGTCCTTATAGTAAAAGAAAGCATTAACAAAAGCACTAATATTAAAAAGGACTTTTTTTTTTTTTTTTTTTTTTTTTTTTTTTTTCAAAAAAAGGGTGGCAAGTATATAGGTCACACTAGCCCTGAATTTGCAATGTAGTGAAAACTTGGCTTAAACTCACAATCCTCCTACTTCAGCCCCCTGAGTTCTGGGATTATAGCTATGCCCAGCTAGCTTTAGAGTTTTTATTTGCAACTCTGATTATCACTTCTGTTGCTAAAACCATACCTTTGGAAGTAGTGGCTGTGGTAGTGGCAGCAACACCATCCTCATCCTCAATAACCCTGCAAGTACATCTCATATTTGAGTTACTTTCAGTCTCAGTCTTCATGCGTTCATATTCTCTCATTCGAGCTAATGCTTGATCCAAGTGAATCACAGTGTTACCTGAATTTGGAACAGAAACACTTCTTGAATATATAAAAGCAAATCTTTCCACATCCTCAAAATTATAAAAATCTGAACATAAAGAAAATTATTTGTTTAATCCTTAAATGGTATGACTTAAGTAGCTTGTCTCAGACTGCAAATCACTTAAGTAAAGGCATTACTACAGAGTTTGAGTTTTTACCTCAAACTATTAACTTTTCATTTTAGTTGAAAATACATCTGGATAGCTAAGTAGATAGCCTTTCTCCTTAAAAAAAAAAAAAAAAGTTCAATTAAAAAACCTTATTATTTATATTTGAAGGTCTATGTTTTTCCCAAGAACATAGCAAATTAGATAAAATCCCTATTTTGTCGGCATTTGCATAGCTATAGAAAGTAGATGATTTGCCTCAGGTCAAAGAATCAACAAAAGAGTCATGAATTTGAATAATAGGTGTGTATGTGTTCATCCTAATTATTTCCCTACTCAATCAACTTGGCCAAAATATCATCTTAAAGCCTTGAGGATTAAGAGAGCTCTACTTACCTAGATCATCTGTTGCAAAAGGCTCAAAGTTGGAAGACACCGACATGACACTCACATTGTCAGCATCATTTTGTTCACTTATTTTATGTGTTTCTCTTTCAAAGTTCTTCTCAAAAGTTTCCTAAGTTAAATAAACAACCACTAAATATTCTCCTAAGAATTTCATAAATATTAAAGATCTAAGAGGGAAACTGTTATTTGTATGAAACTATATATCTAAAAGGGACACTAAAAAGATGCATGAGTATTCTACCCAAAGTCCACAATATAACCGAATTTATTAAAGAGCTATAAAAACATTAGAGTATTAAGTAATCTTGAAAAACTTTTATGCTAAATAAAAGGAAGCCAACTTTCATTAAAAACTATATATTGATAGTTAACATTTTAAATTAACTTTACATTCGACACTTCATCTCTAGATTTTTACTGAATGTCATATGTGAAGAAAAAAACATAACATTCATAATTTTATGAAATTGTATTTTACTGGCACAATTAACATAGAATAATGTACCCATTTTAAGTGTCTCATTTGCTGAGTTTGGACAAATGGATACACTTACATAATCAGCTTCTCTAAAGATAAATGCTATAGCTGGGCCTGGTGGCACACACCTTTAATACCAGCACTGAGAGAGGTAGAGGCAGGCCATCTCTGAGCTAGCCTGGTCTACAGAGCCAAGGACAACCAAAGCTACACAGAGAAACCCAGTCTCAAAAAAAAATAAAATAAAATAAAATAAAGAACATAAGCTAGATATGGCAGCTTTAGTCACGGGACTTAGGAGACAGACACAGACAAATCTCATTGAGTTCAAGGCCAGCTTGATCTACATAAGTTATAAAGAGCTATAAAGTGAGACCCTATCTTAAAAAAAAAAATCAAATAAAAAATAAAAATTAAATTGTCCAATAACCTTTACTATTATCTAGTAATTCCTTCCTCTTCACCAAAAAAATAAATATAGTTAGGTCATTTTTCATTTCCTGCGAAAAGGAACATATCATTTTCAGTTAACTGTAACAAGTACTTACTTCGTAATTTAAATTTTACATTATAAAAATGAAAACTATGGGACTGAGTCTTTTCCAAGTTATCACAATATCCAGTAATCAGCAAGCACCATGTTAAATGAGAGATATCTCAAAACGTTATGTCATGAGCAATCAAGGAAGACACTCCACATCAACTTCCGGCCTCCATACACAGTTGCACAGACAGATATAGTACATACTACACACACATATTCATGCACACATTATAACACACATACATGCACTATGTGTGTACAAACATAACAACTTTCTTCAACATGAGTTTAAGAGTAAAATTTAAGAGAAAATCCTCAATAGTTTCTTAGCAGATTTTTTTTGTCTAAAAAAAAATATATATTTATTTATTTATTTATTTTTGTCTAAAACATAGACAAAATATTCATTTAGAGAAATACCATCTTCAGAAAACATTGTGTTAACATTCTACTGTTAAAATAACATTATTCCAACTCTTAATCTATAGGCAGTTACCTGCTAGTTCCTTATTCTATTCTTTCTCAGAGATCTTCAGTTGCTTGAGTTATTTTTAACAAAGTATTTGTTATACAAGAATCATAATCAATGTCTGAACCTGTAAGAGGTCATTCTCAAATATCTAGCATATAAAAGTATCCTATCAGTTTTCCATATTCTTTCTACTTTATTCAGATATTTGTTCTAAGTAGAATATATTAAATTACATTTTTCCTGGCTGATTTTCTCTTGTCCAGGTTTTTCTTTTACACAAATACTTGATCTATTTTGCACTTATATATTTACAGGTTCTCTGATTTGACTTCTATTTCGTCTACTAAATGTTCTGAATAACAAAGACATATTAAATACCTATTAAAGATAGGTATTTGGCAGGCTTCATAATTTATCATTTTTTAGAGCTCAATATCAACTATATTAGCTATATCCACAATCTGACAATAAGTTCAACTTTTGTTTCTTATACATTGAAAGTGTGTCCACATTTAACCTATTATATTGGCTTACATCATCCGTAGTAGCAAGGCTCTCACTTGGAGTAAGTTCTGAGTTTGATGCTACCCAAGTGCCAGAATTCACAGATTTTACATTTTCTCCATCTTTTTCATCACTTTCAGAAATATGTCTGGACACGATATCCTAAATAATGAAATAAAGTCATTTCTATACAACATATATATGCTTCATTCCAAATTTATGTTATAACTTAAAAGCAGAGGCAAATGGAAGGAAAAATACTTTTCATAGATTAAATATCAAGCAAAGAATATTAAAAAAAAAACACCACAAAAAAATGTGTGGAAAGATAACCTAAAACATAGTGAAGCTATAAAAGAAGTTTTAAATAAAATGTTGCAAAACCCAGAAAATCATAATATATAGAGAATGGGGATGTGCTTCCCTTGAGAAAGCAAGCACATGTAAGAATGGAGTAAGCCGGTAGAAGCCTATGAGGTACAGACAGATACCTGCAATGCATATAAAGCTCTCTGTCTCAAGTAGTCTGTATTAAGCAGCTGCAGCTCATGGAAAAGTTCAATAAGAAAATGTGGACGAGACTCATTCTGAGAAATTAATGTAGCCACTTCAGAATAAATAGTATCCCGTAAAGCTTCAAACATGGAAAAATCACTTCCAGTTTCTGAAAGACAAAAAAAGATCAAGAAAATAAATAAATATGTAATAACTCCTACTACTCTGCATCATTTTCTAAACTTTAACAGGACATGTTTCTATTTCAGGGCTTTTAAAGAAACAGTCTTATAATATCAAGATAAATACTATATAGTAAAATATTTAAATTCAAGAATAGCAGTATTTGATGCCACTTAGAATCATATTAATTTTTCAATTATAGCAATATCTGATGTCACTTAATCATATTAATTTCTCAGTTTAAAAAATGACCAGGTATGGGAGAGCCTGCCTATAATCCCAGAAGTGAGGAACATAAGAAAAGGCTACAAGTTAAAGGCCAGCAGCTTGGACCATATAGCCAAGAACTGGACTGATAATTAAGCCAAAGCAAAATTAAAAACCAAACCTGGAAAATTATATGTATTTCATGGGACTAATCATTAAAAATCTATAAGTACTTGAATACAAAAAGCTAAAGTAAAATAATTTTGGTTTATTTTGGTAATAAGAACTTCATAACAAAAAGGAAATCCATTTATTGATGTTGAGAGAAAAAACAATGCTGTGGCTTAACAATGCAGAATCATGACGTAACTGGTCAATACCACTACAGTGTAATATTTGCTTTAGTGTACAAATCAGAGTAGAAGGTGCCCCACCTTTAGCTATCAGACTCTCCACACATCAATATATCATTTAGCTAAAGTACTGGCCTAGGAACTTGTTGACAACACTCTTTTGAAGTTATACTCTCTTTGCATGGGTGTGTGGAGCCCAAACACAGAGCCCCATACATGCTACCTTTAAACACTATGCTTAGCTCTAAACTTTTTCAGGGTACAAATTAGGAAATTTGTGTTTTCTTTAGACACAGAAACAAAACCATAAGCAACCCACACTCGATTGGTTCTTCTACATGTCAAATTCTGTACTCTCTCTAGGACAAGAGCAGAACTGCAAGTATCTAGTTAAATGCTTTTTATTTTCTTCTTCTTCAGAAGCCAGGGATGATTCTACGAGATAAGAATGTTAAATGTTTCAATATATGTTGTCTAAAAGCATGCAAAGAGCATAAAGGTAATCATATTTGCAGATTAGGATACATACTCAGAGATAACCTAGAACCCCTGCACAGATGCAGCCCATGGCAGCTAGTATCCAAGTGAGTTCCCTAATAATGGGAACTGGGACTGTCTCTGACATGAACTCAGTGGCTGGCTCTCTGATCACCTCCCCCTAATGGGGGAGCAACCTTACCAGGCCACAGAGGAAGACAATGCAGCCAGTCTTGATGAGACCTGATAGGCTAGAGTCAGATGGAAAGAGGACCTCCCCTACCCATGAACTGGGGAAGAGCATAGGGTGAGACAAAGGAGGAAGGGTGGGGGTGGGAGGGGATGAGGGAAGGGCTACAGCTGGGATATAAAGTGAATAAATTGTAATAAATAAATAAATAATGCTCAATAAAAGATTTTCAAGCCAAAAAAAAAGAAAAGAAAAAAAGAAACTTTGTACTAATTAGCTAAGTTATAGTACATGCCTGGGTGTTAATTTCCACAAACATAAAAAAGGAATAAAACACACAGGACTGGAAAGACAGCTCAGCAGTTAAGGTCACTGACGGCTCTTCCAGAGGACGTGGGTTCAAATCCCGGTGCCAAATGGCAACTCACAACTGTCTGTTAATTCCAAGATCTGACACTTTCACATATACACCCATGCAGGCAAAACACCAATGCACATAAAATAAACAAAAATAAATTTAAAAAAGAGTAAAATACATACAACCTATCCTATCTCTCCTTAAGACAGTCACACATCTTAAGAGGTGCTATATTTAAAAAAGTTCTCTTACTAATTTCAAAATGTCTACATGCGCTACATTAAAATAAAAATCACATTAACTAGTAGGAATAAAAGTCAAACCTCCAACCCCTGGCAAAGGAAAAAAATCCAGATCAGGGGTTACAAATTTGTTACATATACTTTCAATTTACATATGGCAACTTAATCATAGTTTAATTTTTAAAATGTTTGTTTCAAAGCCCTAAGAAAGTAGTGCATAAGTGGCTTAGGAATTTGATATGACTAATACAATCTTGATTCCAAATTAATTACAACCTTCATCTCTCCTTTTATGCAGTGAAGAGATTTAAATTTCATGTCAGTCTTTATCCCTAAACTAAAATTAATGCTAAAACATTCCCTAATATTTGCTAGCCAAATCTTGATTCTACTACTGTATATCCAGCTTTGTCAGGTCTGGGTACTTGTCTGTCTTAACATTTTGATTGTGAGTTGAGCATTTTAACAGCTCAGACATCTCTCTCACCTTTGTTTTACTTTCTTTAGAGTACCCTGAAGATTCAAATAGTACTTTACTTTCCATTCATATATTGCTGTAGAAAAGAGCTAAAATAAATGTTTTTATAATTGCAAATCATATGCAATATGTTAAATTAAAAAATCTCATGTACTGCTGCAGTACTTTTATAATTCTAAATAATATAAAACTATACCTAATATAAATATATATTTTGGAACCAAAATAGCATTTTGTAATGTTTCTAAAATTCTATGATCTTTATTTATTATAGCCTATACCAATCATAGTTGGTTTTGTTTGATGGTTTATTATTTTTTCAGATATTCACTGGTAGCGAAAAATAAATAGCCATAGCATAATAGCATCTGTATCTATTTATTAAAAAAATGTAATACTTTTCAATATTTCAGATATATGAAACAAATGACTTTTCAAACACTACATCACAAAAAGTTTCTACCACCTTTACAGCTATGTTTTTTGTAAACAAAACAAGAAGCCAGTTTTACAAACTAAATTATAAATCAAAGACTTCAGAATATGAGTTTTATCTTTATATGTTCAGTAACAAATATGCACTAAGCTAAATCTGAAAAAGAAAAGAAATTCAAGGTTGGAAAAATGGTTCAACAGCTGCTTTTCTATATGTCTCTGGTTCAATTTCCAGCATCCACAGGGTAGCTAATGACTGTCTGTAGCTCCAGATTCTGGCATCCGCTGCACAGATATACACAGGCAAAGCACCCACACTCACATACAAAATTAAAAAACAAAAACAAGTCAGGTGTGGTAGCACACACCTTTAATACCAGCACTGAGGAAGAGGAAACAGGTAGGTGGGTTCAAGGCCAGCGTGGTCTACATAAACAGCTCCAGGACAGGTAGGGCTCTATAAACTCATAAAGACAAAACACAAAACACAAAACAAAAAACTCAGAATATAAGGATTTTAGGTTCAATAAAGAAAAGTAACAAACATGGACACCAGAACTAAGTAGATTGTTACCTCCTGGTGCTTTATCACATATAGATCTTTTAACTTGTTAGATTTATGTAGTATTCTAGAATGTGCTGTAGGAAAGGGTAGACACAGGATGAACATAAAATGTGTATGTACTGTAAAGACAGGGTGTATAAGTGAATGAGAAAAAAAATTTGTAAGTTTACCTACAGTGACATGTTTATCGCAAAGAACAGTTATATATTTGGTAATATTCTCATTAGATGGGCAGGAGAGGTGGCTCAATGGTTATGAGTAAGCACTGCCTGCCTTGCCCTTCTAGAGGACCCATAGTCTCAAAACTCACATGGTGGTTCATAAAGCTATATATAACTATAGCTATATATAAACTATATACAAACTATATAACTATATATATAGTTTTATATATATACAAACAATATACAGTTATATAGTTTGTGTATAACTGTATATATATATATACATACATATATATATACATATATATATATAATATATATATATATATATATATATATATATATATATATATACACACACATAACTACAGTCCCAGGGGATCAGATGCTCCCTTCTTGCTTCCTTGGGCACCAGGAATATATGGTATATAAACATATATGCAAACAAAACATCCATAGATATATTTTTTTAATTAGAAATGGGAAGTGTTCTCATTAAACTCTGCTATAAACTAAAGTGTCTGTAATTAATGATGACAACCATAGTGAAGTACTGTCTTTTTTGTTTTTTGAGGGTAGGGAGTATAAAAACACTCTGACACTCCTATAATTCCCGAAGGAGAAGAGGAAAGCATAATCCAATAATAGCAATAAATATTGCACTCTAATTACCATGTTATAGGCCAAGTCACAACAAGCATCAATAATATAAAGAATCTTAGGGTTACAGTAAACGAAAAACATGCTTTTTAGAATATTGATGAGTAGCACATTTATACACTCAAACTATTTAAGTCACCAAAATTCAATAAATTTTTGATACAAGGTTTTTACTTTGTACTTCTGATAGACAACTCAATATATAAACCAGACTGACCTCCAATTCACACAGATGTGCCTGTCTCTGCCCTCCAAGTACTGGATTAACAGCATATGCTACCATGCCTGACTGCATGTTTGTTTTTTTTTTAAATGACAGCAATCAGGTCTGGAATGCTAAATTTCAATGAAAATAGTAATAGTAAACTTTTGTTAAGCCATTCAATTTTGTGCTCTTCCTCAACGCCCACCCAACTCTTTGACAATATCACTGTTGCATAAAAATAATAAAAGGAGATGAAAAATTTTAAATTTTGCTGGGTCCAGGATAATATAATTATTATTTTTGCCAAAGAACCCTGTACTTTACAGTTGAAAGTTCGCTGCTACTAACTCCTAGCTTGAGAAAGCCATTTCAAAATACAAACAAATGTGAAGTTTCTATTCTGATTACAAAACTAACAACTACTTACTACATGCATTTCAGAAAACACAAGTTTATAATTCATAAAATCACTGCAAACATGCTGATGCATTTTCTTCTATCCTTGTTTCCTTTACATTTTTATTCATATATATATTATACTTTTCAGCTAACATTAAACCCTCTAATTTTCCTCATTTCTGCTCCCTTAGGATCAATTTCAAAGAACAGTTACTAAGTTACTTAGTAAGGTAAGATTTTACAGAAAAGTACAATTTCACATTCCAGTCTTTTAAATGTGTTAGAATAAAACAGTTACCTTCCCTATGCTTCCACAATTGAAAAATGGAAATAAAACAATGTTGCATTATGAGGCTCAGGTGACACAGATAAAAATTCTATAAATCAAAATTTTATAAATAATGAAGCAGATATAATTTTCACCAAAGTAGACAAACAAGACTATGAATTTATATTTTCCAACTATGTTTTTTGAGACTGCCTATTCTTTATATATCATTAAAATATTGGTGCTTACTTAAAATAGTGACCAACAGTCATGACTTCATTCAATGAACACTTACCAAGAGCATACTACCTATCGTGTATTATATTGACATTTAGTGTAAAAATATAAAGGTAGTTATTTGCTATCAAAGGACTCCAAAGGAAAACACAAACATCTAAAATCATTTAATATTATATACTGTGACTCAGATAATAGAAAAGATTTATAACGGCACCAGTGGAAATGAAAGAAGAATGGGAAACTAGCCAACCTTAGATTCAAATACAATTTCAAGATTCCAGAGTTAAAATTTTATTTAAGAGTGAAAAGGGCTTAAAAAACAGGTAAAGGAGGATGGATGTAATATGGTGTGATACGGAAAAGGTAACAAGTGCTGACTGCTGAGCTAAGAAATAACATACTCTAATTCAGTATCACCAAAAGAAACAGTTCAAGGCAGAGGATTGAAAGAAATGCACACACAAAGGCAAGAAGGAACCACTTCCTCGATGGCTACATATATTAAGGCACATACATTTTATCACAAGCACGATGCAACGAATGTTTTAGGAAGAAAAGTAATGAGATTTCATATCAAATCCTATTTAGGTAAGAATTTTCAGAATTTCAATTAGAAATTCCATATTAATATCAATTATTTGTTTAAAAGGAATTTTTAAGGAGTCAGAAACATTAGAGAGATCACAGCAACACAAACTATTTCCAGTTTACATTTCTCTGTGATTAAGATCATTCACATGATAGAAATCTGTGATAGTTTATTATTAAACGTGCTTTAGTGTAGCTTTCAAATTTAAGATGAATTCCTTGGATTAAGATAAACAAAAAAAGAACATACCTGAAGATACTTCTGCAGACCTACTATATTTTATTATTTTTTCCAGCTGTTCATGATTCTTTCTGCTGAATAATTTTGCTTGAACAGGCTCTTCAGTCTGGGCTGAATGTCTGTTCCTACTTTTGCAAGGTTCACATGTGCTAGACACACTGGCACTTTCATACCCTCGGGTAAAAATAGTGACAGCTGTTATCAGTTGCAACTAACTTAAACTGAAAGGGAAACTGATTTCCATAGTAAAATAGTACAAGTAGCTAAGCTTAGAGTGCTATAATGGCCTGGCATAAACGGAATACAAAATAATGTCTTTGAATACTGCTGAAATAACCTTCAGAAGGATAGAGTAACAATAATTAATTTTAATAGGTCATTTATCTTCTGATATTCATCGTATCACCTCAACTAAAAGCACAGTATAAGGCAAATCTCTTCAGATCTGAATTCTCTACCAGATTCCAAGTTAACACATTTTCAATGTTACAAACTAAAAAAAGACAAAAGACAAAAACCACAAACACTACCAAATTTTCTTCCTAAGGTTTTTAAACTTCATATTCACTTTGATATATGATACAACTCAATTTCTTTTATTCTATATGGATATTGTTAATTCTATCCTCTTCCCACTAATATTGTTCAATTTTTAACCCTCATATTTCATTGTTTTATTTACATTGTTTTAGTTTTTATTCCTAAGTCATTTTTACTCTTTTGGCCACAGAAGTCATACAATATATTTTATTATTTGGTAAGCAAGTCCTACTTAGCTTCTTTTCTTGGCTACTCTTAGATATTTATTCTTCCATATATGCTGAGAGCCATTTTTTGTCAGTTTCAAAAACCCAAGGAAATCAACAGAATAAAATTAAATGTGCTTAATTTGGGGAAGGCTTATATTTAATTTTATACAATTTCATCTCAGAAGTAGCTATGCTTTTATACTTAATCTTTTTGTATTATCCAAAAATATATAGCTTTTAAAATACCTGTTTTTCTTAATAGCAAAGAAAAGTGTTTGCCCATTTATTCAGTTACCAACCACTTCAACAGTTTATCTTATTAACATTAGTGATTTTCCAGCTTGGGGACTGTCTAAAATACCAAAAAAAATACTAGTAGAAACAAATATCTCTCCTTATGAATAGTTATTTCAATTACTTTTAGTCCTAAATTTCTAAACAAAGCTAATAGAGAAGGTCCCTCTTTCTTTTTCCCAATTTGACAAAAACGAGTATAAAGTGTTTGCATTCTACTGTATGATTAGCACTGGCTAGCAGTTTTACTGTCCTTAACTGTTTTTTATTTTGTTTTGCTCAATCTATTTTAGTTTCATTAGAATGTCTTCAAATCTAACCTACCACTATGAATATGCCTTTTTCCTTTTATATACACTTTCTGGTAACACATCATGAAAATATTTCTGATTGTACAGTCAATTGTCTAATAGCATTTTGATACATTACCAGTTGCAAATATTGAATTTTCTTTTAATACATGGTCTTGCTCTAAGAGTTCCACCTGTCCTATAACTTGTAGCAACCCTCCTGCTTCAGCCTCTTTACCTTTGAATACAAAATGGGATTGGTTTGCATATATGTGTTTGAGTATACCTCACAGAGGAACAGTGGTGGTGCACACCTTTAATCCCAGCACTTGGGAAGCAGTCAGGCAGATCTCTGAGTTGGAAGCCAGCCTGGTCTACAAAATGAGTTCCAAAAATACAGCAAAACCTTGTCTCAAACAAACAAACAAGCAAGCAAGCAAGCAAACATATATGTGCTTGTCTTCTCTTCTCTCTATCTTTTGGTTCGTTGTAACAGGTTCTGGCCTAGTATTTTGTAGCTCAAATGGTCATCAGATTTACAGCAATCTTCCTGCCTCATACTCCATAAATTTGGGGTTGCAGGTGTATTCGACCATGACCAGCTAGTGTACCATCTTATCTTTCCTTATACAAAGGTAACTATATTATGAGTCATATGTGGTTTCCAAGTTTGCTTCAGACAGGCTAAGTCAGGTCTCTTAGCTAATTACAGATTCTTAAATTACAGTTCTAGCCCACTATAACTTCTACACCTCTTTTCTTTGCTTGCTTGCTTTCTTTTAATACACTGGACATGGATATGGATGGCTTTAAATGAAGTTAAGTCCTCTTTGGTGTCCCAAATGCTAGGATTATAGGATTAGGCGTCTATAGTATATTGGGATTATATGTTCACCTTTCTTCTATACAATGTGAAAATGCTTGATGCCAGTTAGTTTTTGTTTTTTTAATATAACTTTTTCTTTTCTCTGGCAATATAGTTTTTTATTTTTATTTGTTTTTTAGCTTTGATATTCAGGAATTTGATCACCCTGTACACGCAGTCTTCCCCATTCCTTCCTGGGTGGACAAAAGTTGCCTGTACTAAATTCAAATCCTTTATGATCTTTAGTATATATTTAAATATTGTTTCTTGCTTTTGCTTTACAACTCACAGCACTTTAGAACTCCCAAAAACTTCTCTTAAGGCTCTAAAATAAGCCCTTCTAATTGCTTTTACCACCTACTTTTTGGTCTATATGATGACAGAATTCTTTGATTTTCAAAACTGGTCATTTGGGAGCTAACTGGTATCTATCTACTCTCCTTAAAAAAACAATATTAACAAAACCGTTTTTTCTATTTTAAAACATTTACATATTATAATTCAACCTGCTTACATGCCCTTATTATTTTGTTCAACTGTATATTTCCTTCAAAAGATTCTTTTGCTAGATTTTCCTTGCTGTGTTAGTGTGCTTCTATGAACCCTTTCTGGTGGTTAATTTTCTTTTATATGCACTGTTATACCCAATAGCCCAGTTATGAATTTTAACTACCCTAAGGCTAAAAACAAATGCTGGGTCGCTTTGATGGGTCCACTTTTCTCTGGTCAAGCCATATTCTGACTAGCAATAAGAAAACAAAGAAGAAGCTGAGTGGTGGTGGTATACGCCTTTAACCCCAGGCAGGGGCAGGTAGATCTCTATGAGTTTGAAGCAAGCCTGGTTTACAGAGTGAGCTCCAGGAAGGCCAGGCTACGCCGAGAAACCTTGTCTCGAAAAACAAAAACAAAAAGGAAAAAAAAAAAGAAAAAAACAAAAAAGTATCTTCTCTACTCTCAGCTACAAAAGCTAATGCTTACTTACATGTAAGAGCAGAAAGGGTTGCCTCCTACCTGTTCACTATCCCTGCCTAATAGTATCTCTAAGAGACAAGAAAGAAAAGCTGCATCTCTTCCACCGTATCTTTCTTTAATAATAGAGCTTTGATTTCCCCCCGTCATTCTACAGAAGTGAGAGAAGACCCTTTGCTACTTACGTCCCCTAGATTGGGGAAGCTGCTCTGTATCAAATAAGCTCCCAAAATATTGTGCTGTCTCTATAATATCTTACATGGATTCAAACATCCTTTTTTCTTTCTAAGAACATAATTTAAGGTAGTATTTCATTAATTCAAACTTAAATTTCTGTTTCTTTACTGGTTTTTCAGGCTGAAGCCTAATCACAATTATCCATTTGGCAAAAAACTTACTGGGAAGAGTTCTGTTAAAGGTTAACTTATTACTGTTTGTCACATAAAACGGGCGCATAAATAAAAGGAATGTCTAGCAAAAGTATTATGGAATACGTGTACCATACGTAGTCATTTCATTGACAAAACAAATTGCTCTGAAGAAAATAAAAGTATATTAACCTAACAATAAGATTTACATAAATGGAATTAAACTTTTGATTTTATTACTGAATCATATGAAAAGTATTAATTTTAATTGTTATTAAATATAGGTTATGGATACATACAAAATTCTCTTCATACATTTTAGAAAGGCACACATACAGTCAACCTGCCAAAAAAAAAAACTGAAACTAAAGAAAGAAACACCCTAACAATCCAGATGTTATGAGGAGAAATATGCTGGTTGGTTTTTATCCACTAGACACAAACCTAGACATATCTGCAAAAACTATGAATTTTAATTGAAAAGTTGGATCCATAATATTGGCCTACAGGAAAATCTGAGAGGAATTGTTTTGTTAATGATCTAAGTAGGAGGGCAGAGCCTACTGTGGATGATAACAACACTGGATAGGTGGTCCTAGGTGTAATAAGAAATCAGGTTGAGCAAACCAGTAAGCAACATTCCTCCATGGCCTTTATATCAGTTCCTGCCCTGATTTCCTTTGATGATGGGCTGTGATGTGGAACTGTAAACCTTCCCTTCACAGGTTGCCTTTGGTCATAGTATTTTACCACAGCAATAGAAACCCTGTCCACCATAAGTAGATAAGATTTCCTTTACTAAAGACAAAACACATTTTGGATGTAGGATGTAGCACAATTAAGCTAGAACTGACCTGGATACTTCTTCCCTTTTGGCTAACTTTTATAGTACTGTAAGATGCTACGTAGGCCAGTTGGGGAATAATAATAATCCTGTCTAGTCGTGGACACTGCATGCTATAATACCTATCTGTCAGGTCACTGGTAAAATAGTGGAATGACTGTTATAAGGTAACTCGTTTCTTACTGGACTTGAGGCCTGCTCTACAGGAGGAAATTCATGCCTGGTACAGTAAACCTATTTCAAAAAGTCCATGACTAGAGGGAGATCAAAAGCCCTACATGGGAGCCCTACTACCATGGTTTTGCTAAAAGGCATGTTCTTAAGCCATCTTCTAAATATTATACTCACTGCCATAAATTTATGCTGCTGTCAACTTTAATTAGTTAAGCTTTTTTTCACGGTGCACACAGGTAAATGTAGAGACTCATAGTTGGTCAAAGTTCTATGAAAGTAAATGTTAAGTGCTCAACCCTAAATGGGACATCTATGTCAGTCTCCCAAGCAAGGCCCAGGAAATATTGTAGAAGAGGGGACAAAAAGACTGTAGGAACCAGAGACTAGAAAGGACTGCTGTCTTTTGGATACGGCAATGGTATTTATTAACTCAAAGAGCTACTGTTACCTGCATATGTTGTGCACAAGCCAGTCAACCATCCAGCATAGATGGGATAGACTCATGAGGAGGCTCCACCTAAACTGAGGAGCTACTGATAGTTGGTGGTTGCAAGGGGAGGGGGAGGAACTTTTCTTGGGGTAGGGAGTGGTCACTGGTAGGTTGGCAATACTCTAGTCACT